AAAAGTGAACCCATATGGACGCCGAGTATCCCCCCCGTTACTCTGGACAGCTCTGTGTATCAGCGCGACGGATTCAGCATTAAAGTAGGCGAACCTGGGATTCATGTGACCAACCGATTGTATCATTGGACATGCGACGGAAATACGGATGCAGGCAACCTCCTGTTGAGAAAACGAGATACGATATCCCTGATTAGTTTGGGGCCTCGCTTATTTTTATTCGAGCGGACGATACTGAAAAATGGCCGGGACCGAGGCTTTTGCAGTGATACAAAAAGCTGCCTCGAATTTAAACTGCAAAGTCCTAATTTCTGGACAGTCACAGGGCCAGATATTTACCAGATCGATGGTTTCGCCTCTGAGGTCGTGGTACAGTCGTCAAAATTCCTCAGGCTCTGGGATGCGAACGAGCAGAGATTCAGATGGGAGAGAAAAGAATCAGGCATTGGACATATTTGTGGGTTTGTTGGAAAATGCTTCTTGAGAGAAATAGAGACTGGATGTTATATATTGCATGAGAGGGAAACTGGGAGCGTATATGGCAAATTCCGTCTTCCTTGCCACCGAGTCTTCCACGACCAAGACGAAATTACCCGATTTGGCCCAGTAGTCAGTACGGGTGGTTTATTTGTGTTCAAACCGTGCCGAAGAGCGTTTCTGATAGTTCGTATTCACAGACGAAAAGTACATGCTCGTATATGGGAATCAGCGGAGGACATAAAAGGCCATTTAGTGCTACGTGGAGGTCTTGAAAATCTCGAGTTGAGACTTATTGGACAGAGGCCTAATTGGATTATATATGAGGCAACAGAGCGAGTTCATAGGAATGGCTTTCTCACAAAGAAAATGCTGTATAGAAGATAGTCAAATACCATGACAACACAGTGGATGGATGGATGGATGCTTTCATTTACCCTGACCCCTCGCTACGCTGGCGAAATGCAGGTTACTATCACTATCGGTATCCTTGTAGGTCTACAGTCATCGTCGCATTCTTACCGCTACTAAACTTTTGAGATGCTTCTGCGAAATCCAGAGTATTCCTTCGATCTTTCGCTCCTAGCATGGGCGGCCCTTTCCCAAAAGCTTCGCCCACCTCTTTCCGTAGTGCCTGTAAGACGATATCCTCTAGGCTATAGAGTGTCAACTAGAGGATTCTTACGAATACAATGCGCTCCTTTATTAATGCCTTAGGTAAACAAAACGCTTTGTCAGACGTCAGAAGGTGTTCTGTATAGTGTTTGTGCTTTCCAAGGACACCTCCAATATAGAACCTGTATCTAGAAGCATGCTACTCAAGCACATTACTCTCTATGATAGTCCCAAATCTTGACGTGGAAGCTTTGTGTTCATTATATAAATCAAAGGTCTGGCAAAGCTTCCGTACGTAGTTAAGTTGCTATAGGCAGTATGAGGCGTTCTACATTAACATGCCTTAGTAGAGCACGAGGATTTGTTTCTGGACGCGTTTCAGGACGAGGCTGTGGCTTTAGAATCGCCACCTACCCCATCATCAGATGACCTTAGATTACGCTAAATTACATTATCACTCATCATCTAGATCAAACAATGAGATTAGATGCAGGAAACAGAAGCAAGGAAGTACGCAGTGTAAGGCTATGATATAACTATTCCACAATTAGCTACAGTACTTTCACGTTGGACCACCCATCCTTTCTGAACAAGCCTGACACCAACAGATCACACACCGAGGTCGATCAGAGAAGGCAGAAAACACAATAGACTTGAAGGGAGAACATGAAGTATTTTAACAACTTCCAGGACTATAGCTGATGCTGTTAGTTTTTTAATCTAGTTTTGTTTTCTGGCAATAGAACGTCTGTTGAAAATGTAGGTTGCAAGAGACACTGTTCTGACGTGTAGCTTTGAGCATTATGTCTCTGGAGGGCGGAAATCGATAATCTGAATAGACCCAGCTCAGTCGTGTATCTAAGAAAAGCCTGGAAGTATCTACCTGTCAAATCCTCCAGTCTACTTAAAGCTTCAGCAAAACGCCCGTAAGCGATTATTTCCTGTTCTTCCGTTACCACAAAGCCTTGTCGGATTTGACGGCGGAGACGTAGAATCTGAATATGAGCCTTTTGAAGATTTCTAAGACTTATGCAGGGCTTCAAAGATAAGGACCAGCAGAGTGACTTCAAGGCTGCTTGGTTCATGCGTCCTCTTTCTGCCACCTTTTCCAAGAGTGGCCACTCATAGAAATTTTTAACCTGTTTCCAGTCTTACGCCTCGTTAGAACATGATTTTGGGTAATAGGAGACTGACAAACCATGTCTCACGTAAAGTGGAGGCGCCTGGAGGCAATTTTCGGTGGAAGAGTCGATCATTTTTATTTACAAACGAAGGAGACAATTTTAAGAGGTCAACTGATATTAGATGACATTACCGGGCTTTTATCATAAGGATACGACGTATGAAATGTCGCCTATTCAAAACTTGGCGCATTTTCGAGATTCAATTTGGGAAACGACGAGTTTAAAGCAGAAGTGTTCTGGTAGATTTAAATGATCCCCGCTGTGTTGTTGGTTCATTTGATGCCAGTCAGTGTCATTACCAGTTGGTGTCGGTGCCAGTTGGTGTCGGTGCCAATTGGTGCCAGTCCCACTCGATTTTATAGCTATCCTTGGATACATGTACGTCGGACTTCCGTCGTGCTTCTGATTCTTACTAAATAGACTACGACTTGTACTCTAAAATGAAATGGTATGCAGAACCGATGCGCTAATATTATATAAATACATATCACCATCATCCATCTGCATCGCTTTCCCTTAGAGAAGAGCTACCCTCATGCATAACAATACTACTTGTACAGCATGCATCGAGTGATTTTCAGCGAGTCAGAATGGAGAACAGATCAGGAGCGTCGGGCGAAGTATTTGGGAACAGCGAAAGTCAAGATCAACCAGATACTACTACCCTTGGAATATGATCAAGACAAAGTGCAAGGCTTACGAGACTTATTCTACAGACAGGACTGCGACCGACTTTCTCCGCGGAATCATGTTGTCGCGGTGGTATCCAAAGAGAAGCTGTTGGCCACCTGCTACAATAGCCATATGAATATTGAAGCATTAATCAATAATCGTTCGGATAGCTATCACCAGCTTGACTTTCCTATTGGGCAATTGGAGTGCCTTCAAGGACAGCACCGTCTCAGGGCCGGAAAGGAATACTTAGCTCCTTCAGATCAGTGGTGGACGGTGAATTTGTATGCAGACGGTAAGTTTGCAGGAGTGGGGATAAGCTCAGATGAGTTCTGATTGCTTGCAGATATCAGTGACGAGTTGCGAACTGAGTTAGCCGAAGAATATTCCAATGAAAATGCACCAAGTGACGGCGAGATCTATCGTAAAATTCGACAATACCAGTACGAAGCCAGTGCTCGCTTTGAGAAACGGTGGTGGGATCGGTTAAGCCCAACTAAAATGAAACGGCTACGGCAGCTTTCACAGCCAGAACATGCGTACATTCGCTCGGCCTTTGACGCATTACTTCCCATTCCTGGCCTGTGGAAAGGCTTGAGAATCGGGAATCTTTCCCGGGTTCTTGCGTTGAAATGTGAAGAGGTGCGCGGCCACTGCGAAGTTGCTTTTCTTCTACTGACTTCAATAGGAGATTGTCCATTACCTACACTTTGTGAAGAACTTCTGGTCTTCGCTCGTACATGATGACGAGACTCAAATGAATAAGATCGACAGTATGACAGTGGAAAGACTTCAACTTTTGGCTCCCGGAATTTCGCCAGGCGACCGTAAAGTAGTTCAAGGCCTGGTGCTGAGCGGCCAGGTGTTCGGTGCCTTCAGCGCATCCGAGCGCAGATCCATATGGAATGTCCTACATCGTAAATATGAGTTGATACCCTCGCTTCACAGCTTTTTCAAAGACATGTCATATCTGGAGGCTTGCGCGAATTGTATGAAACGACTAGTGGTTCTTCCCAAACCTGGCTTCACAATCTACTCGGCAATGAAAGCGTCCTACCAGGGAGAGGATGATAATGTGTCGTACGTCATTCAGGATTCGGAGACGAGTTTTCGACGCTGCTTGGGAACTGTTCATGACCGCCGAGATTTTGGATACCGACAACTGTGGTTATTTGCAATGAGACATTACCCCATGATGCCGAAGGCTTCTGAGAGCAATGATCTCCTCGCAGCAGCCAGATACGAGGATGCGGACGAACGCATCATTCATAATATGGCAAAACTTGCTACCCGTCTAGGTTTTGCATCACCCCTGATTGACCAGATTCTACAGCAATCCCCAGATCGACATCTAGCTCGTGCAGCACTGTTGAAAGCTAGAGAACCAAGTTGCTACCGCTATGAGACGCTCGAAGCTCTCGTTACCCGCATTACCAAATGTTTTGATGAAGCTGTCCCTGTCAATAGTCAGCCAGAACGCCATCACTTTGCCCCACGAACTGTACCACTGCGTACTAGATGCGGAAAACCTCGTCTTGAGGATCACGAGGAGGAGCAGAGCTTTCTCTTCCTAGACCAGATTCATACAGAAATAGCAGCAGACAACGTGGTCTCTGCATTTTATGTGAGACAATGCGTCTATTTCGCCTTTTTCGGAAAGACTCCTGTATCACCACATGTTGGGGGAGACGAAATTACCCCCCCATCTTCTCTTTTTGTGCCAGATAGTAGCCAAGATAGGGGGATTATCCAATGCAGATCGTCGATCCTTTCTGATTCAGTGCGAAGTTCTCATGCCAGGGAAGATGCCGAGCAGATAAAGCAACGGCAACTGAACCAAGAACGCCGCGTAAGGCGTCGCCAACGAAAACAAGAGCGAAGACAATCTGAATGGCATTGGAATCGAGACGGTCCCAGCAGAGTGCCGACTTGGGAGATGAATGATACAGAATCCTTCCAGGAGCGACCTTTGCCAAGCTGTAATCCTAGGAGTGGAAGAACTTCGGCCCTTGGACCTGTGGATGAAGCGCTGGGTCTGAATGATGTCGACTCTGAATCGATACGATTTGATAGCTCGGTTACAGAAGGTCGCGAATAAAAATGGCCACCATTCATGAATGAAAATGAGTTGAGAGCGGTTCACAAAGTCGCCACGGAAGCTGAAACAATACCGGTAACCATCAAGTCATGTGGATAGCCGCAATTTCTGCTAGTGGTATATCACTAATTATGACCGAGCGAATCACAGTTGAAACACACCTACCGAACTATGTAGATCTAGAATATTTGAGTTTTGATTCGAGAGATTGGACAGTCTTTTTCGCTTGGCAATAAACGCCAACTTAGGAAACATGCGGCCGCTGACTTCTTCGGATCTATGGATGTTACCTGAGCTCATGGCTGTTTTTGACTTTTGAGGGGATCACAGCTCAGAAGTAGAAAAGAACTTGCGTAACGACATGCAACATGCTGATCATAAATAGTAGATAGAAAATGCAGAATCGAGTTGATACTGTAGTAATGTCGCAGTTACTTCTATCCCAAATTTGTTTCAGTAGTGTCTATTATGAGCACTGGAACCGATTCGTTACAATTGTACATGCGGCTGTAACAGTCATCATCCACATTGATAATGTAGCACCGTCTATGGTGGTCCTAGCGACCTCAGATTGACAAGATTTTCACGATACGGATTAATACTAATGAAAAACTTTTACTGCTAACGTGAATCTTACGCAAGGATGCCGTGGGCCTCAAGTGATGAACATGAACGGATCGGATCGATTGCACCGATTCACATCGATTGCGCCAATTCACATCGATTGCGCCAATTCACATCGATTGCGCCGATTCACATCGATTGTGCCTATTCAAATCGTGGATGGGCTTGTTCCGTACTCAAATTAGGTAACAGCTTTGTGGGTAGACAAAGCCTGAAGCCAGTCTGGGATTCTCCTTTTGAAGAGTCTAGACGCTTCTTTATCATCTGTTTCATTCAAGAAGTGGAGGCAGCGTTGCGAAGATTTGACCAGTCAGAAAATGTCTGTTTATGGCACTGGAGCTTTGGTTCTAAACTTCAACTTGAGAACGTTACCTATTTCACACATTTTTTGCAAGTCCAGAATGACAATGCTTATAGCATACAGCTCATAATAGAGTATCCTTCGCAATCTGATTGATATTAGCTAGGTTCAGGCGCAATGCTGTAAATCAATGAAAACATTGTATCATTTATGAGCTTGCGTATTATGCTTGTACAAATGGAGACGAAATCACCTAGTCTGGGAGACAGATATATTGATTCTTTGCAATGCATGAACGATCGAGTGAAGCGACAATTATGGATAAGAGTAAAAGGTCGTCGTAGTAACCATAGCAAATCGAGCGATGCCGATTAGCGTTTTCCTGGAGTTCTGATGCTTCTGAATGAGTGGTTGCTGCTGAATTGTAAGCGGTTAGGCATTGGCTAAAATTTACAGTGAGCCCTACCTTGATCAGTTCGTCCACAGAGCTCGCTGATGTAGTTACCGCCAGGAACTCAACAGCATCGGAGTGCATCGGCCACCGTTGTAGGTCTCTCACCCCAGCGGCACCATTCTCTTCGTATTTTTTCTCCATAAGTTCCATAGTCAAGGTTCTCACGCCTGTAAAGATTTGGCTTTGACCGTCGCTGAGTTTGTGGATGTCCTCCAGACACCCTCGAATGGCTGTTAGCTATGTGCCCGATAGATGATGATGCCCTGTCTTACCTATCTTCACGGTACCATCGACATTCATGAGGATGTTTGAACATATTAAAGATCGGTGCTCAAGCCCCTCCGATGTCAGATATGATAAGCCTTCAAGTACCTACGGAATTAGTCAACCACACGTAAGGGGATAGCCAGAAGAGATACCTGTGTCAGAATAGCAGATAATTGAATTTCGTCCAAGTACGCATCACAAGTGATAATATCCTCAAGGGTCAGAGGAAAGTCCTGACACAGGGCGTACATGGACTCTTCTGTACAGAAACATTCCTTTACAGACAGGATATTTTTGTGTTGGAGCTGAGTCAGACGATGTAGGACTTTGGCAGCAGTAGGTTCACGATAAGACCTCAAGGCGTATACCTCCGACGGCTCGGTGCGATGTACCACAATTACAACATCTCCAGCGAGTTCACATTTAAACACCTTTGTATACGTGTCCCATGGTGACTTAGTTGTGATTCTGACTGGTGAGACAGGATGAGTCTGGAGGCTGATACTCTGTGAATATCCGACTTGCTTCTGGAGAGCACTAGGGACAAGTTGGTCGGTTTCATGTATTGGGGAGTGCTTTCGTTTTTTGAGAAGGCTGACTTGGGCATCTTTTGGAGGAGATTGCGACGGTGACTGGATCCCATTTCCAGCCACTTCTATTCTAGTTGAGCGTTTGTCAAGCTGGGGATGATCCATGACATAGCATGAAGTACTTGTGAAATTGAGCAAAAAGTAGTGACTTATCAGTCATTTCTGAGTTTGGGTGTCTATGAACTGTGTTATATAGTTGTCGCTATGTGAAACGGTAAGGTCTTCTAGACAATGTGTAATGGGACGGTCCGGTTCTAAGTCATTTAAAACCGATCCAGTTCTTGATCCGATCTGGTTGGAGGTGGTCAAAGTATATAAATACGGGTGGGCCTCAACCCGAAGACTAAAACATCCGGTAGTCTGCTGTTCGCGAATCTCTTGAATCATGGAATCTCAATTCACGGATACCGAACTTCGACTGGGAATCGAGCGAAGCGATAGATACAAAGGTACTGCCAAGATTGATTTCAGTGATATACGGTTCAACTCCAATCTATCGCGGCCTCTGGAGCAGCAGAATATTGTCCGGCTCCGCGAAATATTTCTGCAAGAAGGCTGCCGTCGCTTCGAAATACAGAACCATGTCACAGCTGTTGTTTCGCAGCGAGTTCTCCGTATGGCACTCGAGGCGGCAGGCGCAACCGACACAGATTTGTTCACGTCCGATCCCACTCAAATGCCTCACCTCCAGTTCTCTGAGGGTCAAGTCAATTGCCTACATGGTCAGCATCGCATTCGAGCTGCCACTGAGATTCTTCCTCCAGATGATCGGTGGTGGACAGTTGACCTTTATCTAGAAGGTATGGTCTGTTATACCTCCCTGAAACCTGCCTGGTTGACGAAGATAACAGATATCAGCTTAGACTTACGGTCGGCTCTTATTGATGAGTATAACAATGAGAGACAGCCTAGCGACGGCGAAATATATCGCAAAATCCGTCAGTATCAACAGGAGCACAATGCTCCATTTCAGAAACGGTGGTGGGCCCGTCTCACTGAGGAAAAGGCGCGACGGCTCCGTCAACTCTCCGATAACGCCGAACTTTGTTCTTCTTTTGATGCCATCTTGGGTATTCCTGGGCTTTGGAGCGGGATGAGCTTAGGGAACCTTGGCAAATTGATGGCTCTGAACTGCGATGAGGTAGCCTTATACTTGACGTTCTTGGCCTCGGGCTAATGATTGCAGGAAATTGTCCATTATCTTTCTTCGCACTTGAAGAAATTTTGGGTTATGCTTGTGAGCCCTAACCCATCCAATCCCGATGTCGAAGCGATGATGAAGATTGATGTTCACACCGTCAGAACTCTTGAATTGATGGCTCCTGGAGCATCATATTTGGATGCCAGAAAGGTCCAAGGGTGGTTAGCAAGCGGAGAGATACTTCGCGAGTTCAGCGTAGCCGAACGAAACCGCATGTGGGAATGGCTACGTTGCTACGATGGCATCATCCCGTCATTGCGCACTTTTTTTAAAGATATTGACTATCTCAAATCATGCGGTGATGCGTTGAAGAGACTCATTAGGCCAAGTAAAAGTCATCCAACGATGCAAAAAGCGTTTAAATATCATCGCGCGCCTGCATTATCCGTGGAAGAAGGGTTTGCCGTTCAGACCTCTGAGTCCACTTTCGGTATGCGGTCTATGAGCCGTGGGACGTATAGAGAGCTTGCTTATCGACAGATCTGGCTATATTCTATGCGCCATTACCCAAAGATGCCGAGGGATCCAACAAAACCGAACCGGCTGGCGAAAGCGAGCAATGAAAAGGCCGACGAGGCTGTGATTTATGACATGGCCGTCCTCGCGTATAAACTGGGCTTTCGGTCCACTAACATTACAACGTTGATGGACCGATCGCCTGATGCGCTCATTGCACAGGACGCACTGCTTACTGCTCGAAAGTCAGATCGATACGAGTACAACGCGGATGAATACCGTGGGCTAGTTCAGCGCATCGTAGAATGTTTCTCAAAAGCTCGACCTCGAGAAAATTCATGGACTCCCCGCCATTTCGTGCAAGCCGCTGCAGATCCGAAAGCCCGGTGTGGACTGCCGTCGAACGAAGTACAAGAATCTGACCGTCGTTTCCTTTTCCTCGACCATCTTCACACGGCTGATGCACCTGTTGCCGAAACGATATCGACCTTCTACGTAAGGCGATGTGTATATTTCGCCTTTTTTGGTAGACTACCTGCTCATCTTTTCACCCGTCCCACCACAAGTCATTCGCCCGAAGGTTCTCGCCATCTGCGGCCCAGTATGTCACCATTATTTCTGCCCCAGGCCGGTAGGCTCGAGACTGGCGACCCAGATTCTGAGTCTCGGCCTAATTTGGGTGATCATGACGATACGGAGATGGAAGTTCGACCAGATTATGGCGATCAAGTCGAGCGGACTGGAAGGCAAGCACACATTCTGCACGACGTTGAGGACACTGAGTCATTACACCCGCGGTGCCGGGTGACTGAGATTGCTGAGACCACGCTTACAGAAAGACCTGGACTGGCAAGTGGGGAGACTGCGACAATTGCTGATGAGGAATGTCTTTCAATTGCGGCTGAAGAAATGGCAGCCACTACAAGCGACCAGGAAGCTCAAGACATCAGAAATGAAGAAGACAGTGAAGTCGCTGAACCTAGACAAGTCGATCTTGAAAGACAGGAAGGCGCTTTCGAGTCTGTCCATACGATATCAAGCCCTGAAAGGAACGAAAATTCCTCGCAGGGTATTTTCGCGGCTCACACCGAGGTGGAGACCCCCGTCCAGCACGATATCAGTATCCACTCTGGGGCCCTCCAGCGTGCGGGTACCCCCTCTCGACCTATTACCGAGATCGATATTGAAAATAGCCTACCGAACTTCATTGTAAGATTACGCGAATCAAGTAGTCCGCCCGAAACTCCTCAACCTGTCTTGCCCCGCATCGAGGGCAAACGGAGAGCCCAGCATGTCAGAGTTGAAAAACCGAGTTCAAAACCCAGGCAAGCACAAAGGGATGTTAATCGTGCGGGTGGCCGAGATGCAGCTATCGCTGATCAACTAGGCTGGAACCTTGCAGGCTCCGGTTCAGGTGCAGTCGAAGAAGATGTGATTACGCCTCCGATGGACGTAGTCGCGGAGAGCCAAATTGAGACCCATGAAGGTAGAGCCGAAGCGGAAATTGTATCGCAGAGACAAATGGCCGGGATTTTCCAAACATCAGAGAGGAATCCGACACGGACAAACTCCGTTGAGCAGGAACTCCAGGTTGGCTCAGCCATCAGAGCTGCCGAGGACGCTCTCACTCGACAAAAGGCCAAACAAAGAGTGGAAAATGCAAGACCCGCAATAGAAGAAACCGTAGACGAGTTCACCCAGACAAGAACTGCAGAGGACTTATTCGATGGCGGGGAAGAGGCAACCTCATCAGCCGTTGACAATCGCCCTGCCGCTGTGAGCCACAAGCGGAAGATAGTTATACCTGATCCAAGCCTGCCTTCCCAGCAGCATGACGATATCCCTTCCTCTCCTGGCGCCCAGATAGGCGTAATGTTCGACAGCCAAACTCCAACGACTATGGAATCGACATCCGCTAATCTCTCCAAAAACCGTAGAAGACCTCCTAGTACAATCACATTTAGGACCTGGAAGGGCGGTCGATGGGTCGGTTTGGAGACTGTCAAGATCAACCCCACAGACCCATTCCACGTCGAGCGTGTGGCAAGTCGATACGAAAGCACTGAGCATGCGACGTTATATAGCCGGAACTTTCGCAGAACTAGGGTCGGACAATGTTTTCGCATGGCGCGGCTTGATGGGAGTTATTCAATCTTCATGGTCTTTGGTGAGAAACAAGAAATCACCAAAGCCATGAAGGTAGCCGCGAATAAGATTTAAGTGATAATACGCCCAAGAGCAACCGCAATGGCTGCAAAAGGATGGTTGAGATTCAGGCCTGGCAGACTACATCGATGGGTTTCAACACAATGTACGTTGATACCAATGGTTTGAGACACCCAGTGGGTCTACAACCCATCAAAGTTGAGGCCAAGGGGTCTAGTGTCCGCGTGGTTTTAAAACCACAGTTATCAGCCTAAGGCGGGGATGATCCTGCTGGACTCAACCTTGAGGACCAAGTCAATAGAGTTGATCACATAGAGTTATGCCTCCTGCCGGTATATCCCCGTTATAGATTTGTACTATTAGATCGATACTCGGCACAGGTTGAGCACGACAGTGATGTCCCCTACTAAATGATATCCTCATAGAGGTTATAAAACTGTGTTTATGTACTAGAGGTTCTATATCGGACCCAATAACCTTGTACGTCCAGGTACCTAGGTAAAGGATGGCAAAAAAGCTTTCATGGTTTGTGATACCCGTTCCCTCTCTATAATCAACGACACGATCGTGCCAGGACAAAGTTTCGGGCGGCTCGCAACTTCTCCGTGTAGATTTCTATATCCAATTACCATAGTCTATAAGCTTGGATACAATTACTATCTAGAAGAAACAGACTTGGTAAAGGTTCCTAAGACCTTTACTCAAGTCTGATTGACCACGGTTTTGCCTTTCATGCAACAAATTTCCCAGATGCAAATCGCTCTGTCAAGTGGTGGATTTGGCGGAGCCCATCTGAGCAGAAGGCGCTCCAACCCAGAACAGTAACAATCTGGGTCCCTGGCATCAAACACGGGTCGATAATCCCTTTCCTACTCTGGCTGATAGTCTAGGCATGCCATTCGTACGTTATGGTGCAAGTAATTTCGAACAATATCACGCAAACAATCACGCACGACGTTCGATGCGGAGACTAAGTTAAGCAAGGTGGATTAGCTGCTGCCCACTTGGTTGTAATCAAGTCCCTCACCCAGCACTAGCATTTTCCCTGCCTCGTCCTCGATATGTGGAAGCCTTTCAATCATCTCACCGGATGCCTCCTGGGAGATAAGCTCTCGTAGGTCGGGAAACCCCTGGTAGAGAATTGCCCTCTTGTGATTGCCGAATGGCAGTCGATCACGGGTGAGCTTGTCCTTCGTCACATAGATTGAAATGGAAAGAATCTGAAAATGAGTTTGACTAAGCACATCAAGGACATCGAATATAAAAACGCACATAACCATTGTCCAGTGTATCGTCTTCCAAGAGATGATTTAAAAGGTCTTGACCCCCTCGTACGACATCTATACTGTCAGCTGCATCCGTTTCCATTGCTCTGAGGTGCTTACCGAGCGTTTCCACCTGCCACACAAAATGTAGCCTGCGCGCCTGGGTCGTAGAGGTGTTGTAACCGTGTATGATCTTCTTCATATACGGTAATATTGCGGCAATACCATGCCCGCTAGCGACGGCTAGTACCGTTTCATAATGTGCTACGGACTGACTGACCCCATGCGGACCGCTGAAGAGTGCTCGCACAGAAACTGCCTTCATATTCTCGGTGCGCGCTCGATGAAGCGCGGCGGAGGTAGCGCTACGAGGCTGCACTATCAAATCCAGAATACCCTGCTTGCCTGGCGAAAAGGATATGACAATGAACGGATAAGTGTGCATCCATGACCACCAAGAGAGGGTTGGCATCCAAAGATTGATCCATTGCCCGGCCTGCACGTGGATAGCTCGCGGTAGGATGAGGCGCATTCTCACAATAGAGCTGCCAGCTTCATCACAAGACGCAATGGCGCGCGGGAAACCTCGCCCCGCGAGTAATCCATTATAGTAGAGCATGTGAAAAATTTGCATGAGACATGTCATCGCCAAGGTGCCCATGGAAATATACAGACATATCATTGGAAAGCTAACACCCGTGGGAAGATGTCGCCAGATTCCATACAAGCCAAGGACTGTGAGTCCCTGATGGAAGCGAAGGAAAGTGCCATATGACAGGCTTCTGAAGAGCGGCAAACACCACACGAAGAGCATAGCGAAAGAGATGGCTCCCTATGACCGGTTATTTTCAAACTCCTTCAAGATGTAAGAAACTTACAATCATCGTGAGCAGATCATTGGCTTGTTGCAAGGAGAAATCAGCTCTCTGGGAGAACAGTGCCGTGCATACGTGAAAAAGCAGTAGAGCGGCCACAGTCCAGCCCATCGCCCGGTGGATTCGGTGACACATCCGTAGCGATATTCCTAGAAGATCAGATAGAAAACTCAGATGTGGAGTAGAAACCAAAAAGATCAAATTAATTAAAGCAAGCGTGCCGGCTCGCTTTCCAGCAGCGGCGACGGACGCAGTACGAAAAAGGAACAAGAAGATGTTCAGAGACGCATAAAGAATGTGGAGTATCACGCTGGCCCGAGTCCATGGTCCGAGAAGCCGATGACGACGCAAAAAATAAGGATAGCTGAAATGTCGAGCGACAACTCGAGCAAGAACAGTGGTCCACGGTGAAATGAACGACAACGCTTGGAGGACCAGGAGAAGTCCTAGCAGGCTGCCTACAACTATTGCGTAGAGGACAAGTATATCCATATTCACCGCTACCATGAATGCAAGGTGATACAGATGAATAAGGAAAAACAAACTGCATCAGTACCTTTTAAGTGAATTTCGAAGGTGACAAGACTCCGTAGATTCTTCTCTGAGACAAGATTGAGATGAGTCACGGCTAGAATTTTTCTCTTGTGTTTACCATGTTGCTACTGTTGCTGGAGTGAGAATGGAACCGAATCGAATCGACACATCCTAGAACGATAAGACGGGACTTCAAACCGGGCTACTGTAGTAAGTAGAGCTAGGGATTACATGGATACGCACATTAGGCTTCATGAGGTAGTTTCCGGTGAGTCATTGCGGTGGGACATTCAGGTTGATTGAGTCGATCTGAATCGTGAGCGGTTTTGTCGGAGAATTGGTGCATTTTTCGAAACATTTCACTTTATCGAATGCTGGTGTATTGGTCATGGTGCTATCCGCTCGGCATCAGAATCTTAGCAGTTCAAGTAGGCATGATGCCAATCGGTCTCTCAAACTCAATTGACTGCGATGCGTTGCGATGGTGGGATCTGGTAATCGTCGCCTGAATGCGTTTACCGTTCCCGCCGACTATAAATAAATCAGCGCAAGCTAATGAGGCGAATATTCGACATTATCGGTACCGTATCAATTGGTAGTAAAACCTAACTGGTATAATTTGTTTTACTACAGTAGTGTATATCTTTCTGATGTCGAAGTCTGCTCGTAACCGCAGAATTTGCGCTAGGTTACACCTCCCATGAAGATCTTCTAGGAGCCACTCTTCAACTATAAAATCTACACGCCTAACCACAAATAAAAATGAATTATCCCTATTTTTCTCCGGCCTACGGAGATCACATTTTATATGCCGCTCTGAATAAGTTCCATCCTCTCACACTTACATCACCTTCGGTCGATTCCCAGGTATATGCGCAGACAAACTCGTCGGAGTAACTATAGGCCACGCCCCTTCTCAGCCGTCAGTCAAGAAGATGAACCCGACACTCCTGATTAAATACAGTCGTTGTTGTTGTTGTTGTTGTTGTTGTTGTTGTTGTTGTTGTTGTTGTTGTATTCATACACTGACCCCTCGCCGAAGTGATATGTAGGTAAAACACTATCTAATCCTTGTCTATCTTTATGTACAGTAATCCATTACATATCAACAAATTTAGAGCCTCATCACAGCCTATGATAGCCTTAGTGCCTAATATTGTATTAAACAGCCCTATAACGCGCGGCTTTAAAATCTCTATAATGTCTCTACAAAGTCTAGTACTACACTGATAATGCTACTGTCTTATATATTATCCTTTTTATCTTTCTTACCTTAAGATCTTCCTCCCAACATGTTTGAAATATCATTAAATGTAATCCCAATCTTCCTCTGCAGTTCTTGTCATAGAACCCTCAATCTTAAGCAGTTAATCAAAACATGAACCATTATTTTGATAGTCTTATACTTGCATTTGTCGTCTTCTCAGAATTTATATAATTTGCTATGTATTACGAGCTATAAATGGCCCATTCAGAGCTACGTGAACAGGTAAGCGTGATTCTGTTGTAGTGAGCCGTACATTCTCTGGGTGTGAATAGAGAGCAGATTTGGATCTATTCAGTGGAGATAGTGGCCTTTCTGCGACGTCTTCTATCTCTGCTTCCATTCCATCTGGATTTGGTTGCGGATAAATCCTTTCTCCTGTGATAGTAGATGCTGAAAAGGGTGTTTTTTCTCAGGGTCTACAGCTTTTTTGACCAGCCAATCAGCCGCCTTATTACCTGGGTTACCGCAATGGCCCGGCACTTACTAAAGGTAAAGAGGTATTCCCCGTGCTTGCAACTCTTGCGCTGATTGTTGAACTACTTGGATGATCCTCTGTCCTGACTTGTTCCATGCATTGGAGAGGGCTTGAAGCGCTGATATACTATCACTCAGAATGGTTGCTGATTCCTGTCTATCTGTTATCACTTGCTGAGTTTCCATCGCGATCTTGAGGACAAGACTAATGGTATAGTATATTGCTATGAGCTTAACTGTATATACTGATCAGTATTCCATAGAGCCAATGCTGACTTTGCGGTGCTAGATCACATTGTTATTTCGGTCTAGGGCGACCGCTGCAGCTCCTAGGTGGTTATGTTGGCCTGATGCATCCAAGATAACCGCAATGCCGGCTATGTTTTGAAGAGCAGATGCTTTGTGTTTGGCTTTATTATGGTCTGGTTCAATGTCAATTTCTAGGAACGCTGGAATCCGCTATGGTGGTGGAGAGGTTGCGCTGATAGTTTCCAGGGCCTGGAGTTGAGTGAGGTCCATCGTCCGCAGGATTTCTGTGAGAGAGAACCAAGATCCATTTCCTATATATAGGCTCTGTAAGGCTGCTCAGACCACCACTGCATAACTGGGATGGTCGCTTGGAAGGATGCTAAGGCGGGCAGCTATAATCTATGTACATTATTTGAGTCATAAGTTGGTTGGTAATATGCAGGATTTGACCTCAAGCACCATAGTGAATACAGTCTTGAATGTAGAGAGAATGTAAATAAGGGCTGTTTGCTGTACTATACCCAGCATCCAAAGATAGACCTTATCCTTCAGTAGATTGTGCTAGACAGTGGATACATAGTCCACGATTGATGTTACACATGCTTGGTATAGTTGTCGCATTTGTTCTGGACGGAGGTGCCTCAGTCCCCCCAGGGCAATGTTCACTCGGGTTGCGCGTTTGACGGCTTGCTGTACATGTTCCTTCCACCGCATCTCCTGATCAAAGACTACGCCGAGGAGTTTTGCTGTGTCGCTGGGCTTGATGACCATTCCATTGATCGTAATTTGTCCCACCCCATGCTGTCTTTTGGATCTTGTGAGGTGGATCAGTACGGTTTTCTTCACGTTAAACGCGGATCCTGTCCGTCGGGCCCATGCCTCGATGCGCGGTATATCCTCCTCCTGAATCTCTCTGACATTGTCTTCTGCGGAGGGACCGGCTCGCCATCGAAAATAGTCGTCGATAAAGGCCGACGCGCCTCCGTGGTGGTCGACGGGCTGGTCAACCAGGTCGCAGTTGAAAAACCCAAATAAGATGGGGGACAGCGGGGACCCCTGCGCTAGGCCCGCGTGCTCGAGAGGGGAGACCTCTGTTTGAAAGTCATCGAAGGAGATGCTGGCATAGCGGCTCTCCATGAAACTGCGGATCCAGCGTCTGGCAACAACTGGGATCCCTTTGGCCTGCAGGCGGGCGTCGAGGCTTGAGGCGTTCACTCCGTTGAATGCCCCTTTGAGGTCAAATGCTATCAGCGTGATCACTTTAGACCGTAGCCACGCGCGATCGATGGCGTTTGCTAGTACTAAGAGTGCCTGTTCCGTATTCCGTCCCGGTCGGCCTCCAAACTGGATTAAATACAGTCGTACCAGAAATCTCCTTCCCAAACAAATGTATGTCACGGACCTGGATCCACCTTAGTTATAACAGTAGTGCGTCGAGATACTTTAAGCTGGTTGAACCTCGCACAGATTCCTGGGGTCGTCATAGAGATAACTTGAATAAACAAAGTAACAATAGTCGATTAATAGCGTAGTCGTAATCGTAACTAAGATAGAAGAGATCCCTTATACAGCCGGGTGCCTGTACAAGATAGAATGCCTTGCTGACTCTTACTGTCAAAGTCTAATATCAAGTGACTTAGATTAAAGAGCTATGAAGAACTAAATACATGATGTTGAGCGAGTGTCCTTATATATCCGGTCCTCCATATTTTGTAGTGCTCATATCGTAGTATCGTAGCATACTACGATATCCTTTACTACGATACTATGATTCACCCTCCAGTAGTATCTTGTAGTTTCGTAGTATCCCTTATCTTTCTGGAATAGCGGTATATTATTCATATCTCCACGTGACTTGGTGCGTGTCCCATACCGAGGTGTTCCGTTCTTGACATCCTTCCACCTGTGTTGTCATCGTATGGTTCATACGCTCGCAATTCCAATATGACCTTTCCTTTCTAGTCATAGTATACTTTAGCGTCATGCAGGTTGATTCGTAACAATGTACATAGATGGGTTTTCAAACCCTAATCAGCCCCACATGCTAAACCATATGTGGATAGTATGTCTTTCGGTAAAGTGACGTGTTTTGGTATCAAACCTGTTTATGTATTGGTAACTTAGTACTGTAAATACAGAAATATCTGGAAGGTTCGATGCAATGCAAACATGATAAACAAGGTGGCACGTGCGGTTATTGCAATCTGTCACCAACTTGTCTTTCTGCATCTCGTAGTTACACAGCACTAGACGCTTTCCATAGTCAAGCAGGATCACCAAAGGCTTTCATAGAGTACACTTGTGCCGCCGGTAAAGAAACGCTATTTCTGCTTGTCACTATGCTTGGCTGCGTGTTGCTGCACACCCTATTGGTCATGACTAGGTTCAAGGCTAACACCAGACCACTAACGCTAGGTCTTAGCACATCGATGCTTCGGAGATGGCGGATGATCTGTTCATTTGTGACGATGCTTCACTTTCCCAGGCAACCGACCCATGGGCCGAGAATTCTCAATATGCCCCCACCCCAGGCAATCTCGGTTATTCTCCTGCATACTCGTATAATCCCTCCCCGCAACGTATCTTGCCACCGCAACCACCGGATCGACTCAAATTTCTACCATGGGCCGAATGGGATAAAGATCGCGAATATGATGTGCAGCCACCCCAATGTGTTTGTTATATCCTTGAGTGGAAAGTTATGCTCAGCATAAAGAAATTAGGTGGTGAAACTCGAAAGGACTTGGTTGTAGCTCCTAGTGATTACTGGCAGAAGTCTTTGAAACAGGCTGTTGAAAATACGCTACAAACGACGCGGAAGCGTCACCAGAGAGTTGAACATGAAAGTACAACAATTAAAGTATGGGTAAAGGACAAATCACAATTTCCCCTTGAAATATTTTACCCCTCGAATGCTACAGACATCGATTGGAGCCCAGTGCAAGCGCAACTATGCAAGTGGAGTAATCTCGTTCGTGTTGGGAAGAAGCCAATCATTACTATTGCTTTCAAGTATCAGCAAATCGATGATCCTGTATCATCAACTAGCAAGGGCAAGAAACGACGCCGAGTGACAGCGACAACAACTATGCTTGCTGAACGTGACGAAGATATCGCTGCGGAAGAAGAGATGTCGGGGCGACCTTGCAGCTGGAATCTAGTATATGAGCTGATGCGATGCAATGTCAGGTCATGTCAGCTGAACTCTGATTGGTGCTGGGAGGACCCAGGATGGCAAGCATTATAAGCTCCGAGAACCACACATCGAACGACCCATTGACTATGTGGATAATGATGGCAAACTCGAAAGTCATGGTGATGTCCCTCGGGATATTCGCCAGGACCTCATCCGGGAAAGCCAAACTGGGAGAAGATCCAAGAAAGCCAATTCGCCGGCAAATGGGTCGCCATATCATCCAGTGAACATTAATGTCCTGCCAGCCCCGACACAGCAGGCCCTCACGGCAGCTCCGTCACCTACCAGACCTTCTTCCACCGTCGAAAGTCTTTTGATTCCTGGACCACGGGAACAAGCGGTAAGAAATTACTGCAAGTGGCTGGAGTTAAAGGCTACGGAAGATGACTACAAAGCTGATTTCCGACGAATCTGCCAAGTGACTCTTGAGAATCTTCTAGACCTTGATCTCATCGTCCAAAGTTCCGATCGTCAATTTTTGATTAATTTCTATAGAGAGAGGAAACAAAATCGGAACCATTCTGAATTTCATGAACAGGATTCATGAATGGGTCCAACACGTGACAACACAGATACCCTCAGAGAGTATGGCGGGGAGTCCTAGTGAAATTGAGGACTAGACTATCTTATACTTGTTGATTGGCGAGTGCTACCTCAGATGCTATTTAAGCGTCTTGGAAAGAAACAGTCTAACATTCAATAGCTAATAATAGACCAACTAATATCACCAAAATAAATCCATGATTTTCTTGTATTCCGACCTACGTACCACCACTTACATAAGTATCCTTGCCTTCAATAATTGTCAATGCATTTTAACAAATCAAACAGGCCACCAATCAGCGGTGTCACACATAAAATGCACAGTTGTACCCGAGTTTTATCATGCATAGTCTCATCCTGGTCCGACAACCTTAAAATAGACAGCCTACGCATTCATCTTACATCGCTGTCTCACAACGATCATGAGTCGACTCGGAAAGCCTGTGTAATATTTGGAAATGTGGTTAGTATCAAGTTGCCAAAACAATATGATGCAGATGGGCTACTGACTTTTCGAGGCGAGGCTGTGAAATCTCAGATGCCGTCTTCTGCATCACGGTTCTTTCTTCTTCTTTTCTTCACAGAGTATGTGCATCTTATTATATTCTAGCATAGAGAAGTGTGTCTAATTAAGGATCTTTCAGATCATATTGCAAAAATATGATCGCAAACAACGTCTGTTTCGGTTACAGTATACATAGCATGTGACAAGTAGTAAATTTCTATATACAGTATAGTTATAAAACCATGCCTAGACAACTGATTAAACTTCTTATACAGCTAGGGATATACACGTACTATGCCATTATATGATAGATCAGATTAGGGTTGGGACTTGTTCTTAGCCTAATCCTGCCAGCCACAAGTGCTCGGTCCTCTATGATGTGGTATGTGGGTGTAGCTGTTTCTTACGCTTGCGAATAATTGCAGAAACATATTAGGCTGCCTTCCTGCATTTGAACTAAGAGCGTGTGATATAGCTTCTCAGAGTTGTTAGCTTCAGGCCTGTCACTACTTCACCACGTCAACTCTAACACAGTTGCTCTATCAAACAATTAGGGTTATTACTAGAGCAGTGAAGCTGGGCCTGATGGCACTGGGAGAGGCACTGAAAATTGAGGAATCTTTAGACAAGAAATGTGAGGCTGTCCAGGTTCACGATGAATGGGAATATTGGAAAGGGAAGAAAGTCGAAGGGGTCACTGGCACTGAATACAAAAAGGAATATGGAAAAAACTTAGATATTACTGTTTGTCATCCTTATAAATTGATTTTACTGTTACCAAAGGGTAAACCCGGCCTAACAACAAACTGCTCGCTTTACACTACGTAGCTATTGTGAGTGCAGGACTGTTGTAAGTATAAATTTTTGGTCCTCCCTTCTACAAAAAACATCTAAACAGACTCCTCAGTCCCAGTTAGCCTCTATATAGGATGAACAAGCCGTTTCAATCAGACTCAGCAGGTGTGAGAGGACGCTTGATTGTATCCCGACCTAAGCTTCTCTGATAGCTATACTGCTCCTTAACGTACAATTTGTCAACTCGGTGACTCAATTTCGCCTAACCTACAGATGAGCTGTATCCACTTGCAGCATATATAGGGCATCATATTTAGGGCTAAAGTACCAAGTGCCTAGCTTGCATTCTTGCTTAATACCAAGGCGTTTCATTGCTATCTACTCGAGGCTGCATTCTCCTTCGTGAATCTTGCTCACCCAAAGCTCCTCCAACGCCTCTGTCTCCTTTCGTTCACTCCGTAAGGGATTTCTTGATTGACATCAATAGTAGCTTTCCAGAATCCTTTTCAAATTTAAAAGTTGGATAGCACCTCTGCCCCATTGCAGCTACAGCTTCACAAGTGATCCGATGTTCAGTCTTAGCAGTAGCACCAATGGATGCAAACCACCAACTAGCGAGAGAATCTGGTGAGCCTGGTTCACCTGCGGCTAGACCGACTTCCTTGATGCGTGCGGTCATTTTGCGGTCTTGGTCTTTGATCTCCAAATCTAACGAACCAGAAAGTGCAAAATAAAGGGTTGCCGGGATTTCATTGGGGATGGTCTCGGTCTCGCGAAAATGGGCTTTCCAGAAGTTGGTGGGGTCTGAGGAGGACTTCTTGCCAACGTCGAATTTGTACTCGCCGCCTTGGCCGTAAACTGTCTGGACCTGGCCCTTCTGGATATGGCCGTCTGGGTCTTGTCCATTCGTGATATTGTGCTCGATGATCGTAAATTTGGCACTGTAAAATTCCAAACCATCGTAGTCAGAGCTTGGGGCTAAAGAAAATTTGAACTTTGTGTAAGACATCTTGAAGATCTGAAGATATTGCTTCAAAATTACTGTAGAACATAAAAAACGATTTGGGAGTGACGTTCCTCTTCGCTCATGTGTGGTTGACATCGCTGGATTTTATAGTCAGATCGATTGATCAAACCCCGCCCAGATATGTAACCTTGGCCACAAGCTGCATAGGCGTAGTGAAGGATTCTAGGTCATCAAAATACTAGCCAATTGTTGATTGACACACACAGCTGCTGGTCTCCTGTGCGATCTATGGGCCGTAGAGGAGCAGGTCCAGCGTATAGTCCATCAGCAACTGCGTAGCCTTGCATAATTGTGTACCCAGAAGCTATAATCACAGCGCATGAATAGTGTCATGGTCTCCGACTATTTTCAGCCAGGTGGCGGAGCTGCTTCTCCTCGGGACATGTGAGCCTGTAATCAGGATCAGGTCGGAATCAAACTCAGTGCCATCACTGGTCTAGAATCGGGTAGTGTTGCAGATCAGCTATGCTCAAAAATCGGCCCCAAAAGAAATATGTTATTATCCTCCAGTTACCAGAAGCATTTAGCGGTCGTGGAGCAGAAACGGGCTGCCAAGGAGAAGGATGCTGCCTGTAGGCTTCGGGCTGCCTGCCTTGAAGTCATAAATGACCTCCGGATGTTAGGAGATTCCCTTGGCTAGCTGTCTTTTGATCAATTCGAATTCACAGTGGGTCCGAATTGATTCAATCCCTGGCAATTGGAGTATTGTTTGATAAATCAACTGTGTTAGAGTTGACGTGGTGAAGTAGTGACAGGCCTGTATGCAAGCTAACAACCCTGAGAAGCTATATCACACGCTCTTAGTTCAAATGCAGGAAGGCAGCCTAATGTGTCTTGCATTTATTCGCAAGCGTAAGAAACAGTTGCATCTATATACCACATTATAGATGACCGAGCACTTGTGGCTGGCAGGATTAGGCTGAGAACAAGTCCCAACTATAATCCGATCTATCATATAATGACATAATACGTAGTATATCCCTTGCATTAAGTACAAACTAGATTAGGTAAAGATGGCCTGTTTCAAAGCGGTCTAATTGCGGTTGGCCATATGAGAAGTTTAATTGGGTTATCACTACCCACCACTAATACTTCTGCAGGCACTGTAATAAAAAAGTAAATAAAAATATTTAAGAAAATAAATGATAGAAAAATGAAATAGTTTAAATATGGAGGTATTTCTCGGGCTAACACATCTTGAACGCGGATTCAAGTAAAAGCATAGCCCCGCGAAAGCTACTGTACGTGTCTTAGATCACTTTATCCTATCCCAGAAATCTTTTATATCTAACTTGACCAACTTTGAAATGGTTACTTATACAGCGCCTTGCAAGTGCGGCTTTACATTGTCACGGACCTGGATCCACCTTAGTTATAACAGTAGTGCGTCGAGATACTTTAAGCCGATTGAACCTCGCACAGGTTCCTTGAGTCGTCGTAGAGGTAACTTGAGTAAACGAAGTCACAATAGTCGATCAATAGAGTAGTCGTAACGTAACTAAGATAGAAGAGATCCCTTATACAGCCAGATGCCTGTATAAGATAGAATGCCTTGCTGACTCTTACTGTCAAAGTCTAATATCAAGTGACTTAGATTAAAGAGCTATGAAGAACTAAATACATGATGGTGAATGAGCGTCCTTATATATCCAGCCCCTCATGTTCCGTATACCATATATTGTATACTTCAAAAAGTAGCAAGTATAAAGTATACAATATCCTCCAATGACATTCCATTGAATAATATACTCTTATCTTATCCAAGATAACGGTATATTGTTCATATCTCCACGTGACCTTGGTGCGTGTCCCATACCTTCGTATTCTCCTGTCACTTATTGCCAGTGACTGGTTCTCAGTTAATCCGGTACAAGCCCATACCAAAGTGAACCTTTCCCTTCTTGCGATAGTTCCTTTTAGCGTCATGTAGGTTGATTCGTAACAGCGCGCTTTTACTCACTTCGATTGTTTAAACATGTTTCACCCTAACCTGTATCCGGGAAAGCCCCGGAATAATGATACTCCAAAAGTTTCACTGTACCGTAATTTACCACAAAACAACATGACGTCAATTGAAACTCCAATACACTGTATGTGTGGAGTGGGGTTGATTAGCTGAAGTTGACTCTGGAGTTGTCGACCTTCGGGATCTTGGCAAGGATTAAGCATGCACTTTGCAAGGGGAAAATATGGGTTCGATTGATTCTTTCTAGGAAGCAATATCTTCTAATTTACACGGGAATAGTATCAGTTTATATAGACGTTCTCTCAGTAATTTGATCCAATCAAATAATCGTCCTTAATCTCAATAATTTCAGGGGGATCAACAGTTTCCAACCATATTTGGGAGGTCAATGATAATTGCCATGAAAAGTGGAACTCCATACTGTAGCCCTAATATGAAAGGTACAGTACTTCCTTTATTTCTCAAACCTAATAATTACATCCTAAGTCTACTTATGGAAAATAGCAATCTCTCTTTATGTGACGGGAAGGAGCCCTAAGCCCTAGCAGCCATCCGCAACAGGAGTTTCCTTTGTTCCTACGATTTCCTAATTCGGATCCGACGAGGCCCCTGGGGGCACATATAAAAAGGTGTTTAGTGAGCGGTAGGGGGTTTTCTTCTTCTTTCCTCCTTCATACGTAGTTTTCTCGCAGACAGGCTACCTATTAGTTTTAATGGAATGAGCATCGTCACATTTAGACAGAAATACCACTGTAGACCATCAATAAAATAAGCATAGAGGAGTAAATATTACCCAGTCCTAGTTAATACCATTCCAGTATTAATAAATCCCTATATAAACGACTAGCGACGACGAGAGCGGCCATAAGAATGTCCGTCAGGCTTTTGAGCTGTTACCTTTCTGGACAGCAACAGTATTATCGGTATTTAGCAAGCTCTTCTCTTGCTTATATTTCTGAAGTGGGTACTTGTCCATGGCTGCTGTGGCTGTTTGAGCCGCTGTTGTAGTGGTGTGATACCGCCTCGGAAGCACAGGTCATCATATCCCCGATGGGTTGCGTCAGATCAGGGTTCATATTTCATTCTGTTTATACTTTCGATATGGCCCTTGAGCCATTCTTGACTGCATGCGACGGTTGTTGCCAGTGGAAGCTTTGTTGATAGCGGCTGAGACAGGCACTTCAATTCCGTCAGTAAAAAGAGCTGTGGTGATAATCATCCTAGGAAACCAAAAAACATTCAAAGTAAGGTACTTATATGTATTACAGTAAACTAAAAAAATACATTTGGTTCTTGGTGGGTTTGCAGCAGCCCATGGGCGACTGAAGCACTGGGCGCTTGGATTCAAGGCAACGATTACATTTCTTTAAGGCCACTGATTTCAGGGCCATATTTGCCATTAACCATAGGACTTTTTTAGGTATAAGTCTTGTAAATATAGCTCTAAGTATTATATAGTTTCAAATTCTAATTATGCCTTGCCTTCATATATATGTATAAAGTCACCTCTATCTCAAGGTTCTTCTGACTGCTACTTCGGTTCAAAATCCCTGACTTAGAATTATCTATTTATAAGAGTAGATTTAATCAAATCATAGCCTATAAAAATTTCATGTGAAGAAAATATTTTAAATTAATGAAGACTCAATATCCTATATCTCTAACAAGCAGCTGTCATCAAAACCTCTCGCATCATTAGGAAGGTTCACGCCCTTCATCATCTCCGTCAACCGGTCCAATTTGCTCTTGCACACGTCTTTATAAATAGGCATGACATCAGGTATTGGCCCAGAATTCTCCGGAATAAGAAAAAACATCCGTGTTGTAATCTTCCCAACAGTTGAACCCCAGGGCATATTTATACCCATGGCTTGAGTGACCAGTACTTCAAACGTACTCTTGACCACTTCCTCGTTAATAATCCCTGAGAGGATTGTCTTCTGAGAAGCAGTCAATATGTCTTCCTTGAGTTTCTCTTGCATTGTATCAAGAATAAACTGACGGGCTAGTTTCTGCGCATAGTCGATTAAATCAGCTATTCTTCAGATCTCTCCTGAAAACTTTAGGATTATGGATAAATGGACAATTCTCTCATACCTTGTCAGAGAGGGCCTCGTTTGTCTTGAATACCTGATCGTCAGAGACAACGGCATTCTCAGATTGTATTCTGGACATCATAATTGAGCGCAATAAGTCCACCGGCCTGGAACCGTAGTCAAGAGAGATACTACAGGTGGGTTCTCTAATAACCGGTCGCTCAAACCCTTTAATACCTGCCTCCAAGAGTACCCACTTCCATTCCGATCTCATGTTCACTTTCCCAGAAAAGTGCATGTCGGTTGCGATCAAATAATACACCATTAGGGCATCGGAAAGTTCTGCAGACACACGGTCTATATCACGTTCCATTCCATCACCTTGAGATTGGAGCTTGTTTTCTTCGATGAATTGGGCAATCATCCCACGGAGGAATTTGGAAAACCTAGCCGCATCTTCGTAATATTTTTCATAAAAGACTTGATACAGATCTTGGGCCTTGCGAATTCTGTTCCACTCGTCGTTGCTCATTACATCGATATGTTTTGCTGGCCGTCGAATCTCTGCCTCTAATGCAGCCTGTTTTCGGTCATGCTCAGCCCATGCTGCATCAAGCTCACTTTTTTGTCTGGCGAGCTTTTCAAGCCTTGTTTCATTCATTGTGGGAGCGAATAATTCAAAAGGTATAGAAGAGATTAGAAATATTTGTTAAAAGGTCTAGGGAAGAGAAATAAAGTTAGAAGTTTGATATTTTGGAATCAATGGTACTCTTACAGGTTTATATAGCTTTCCAGCTCCTGCCTTATGTAAGGCACATAGAACAGATCAGATTCTGCAACTCGATTACGCAATTGATATTATTCAGACGGTGAAACTACCCCTTGCTTCAACTTCTTATTGTGTAATACTAATGCTCTCTCTACTAGATATATCTGGAGCTGTTAATTATTTAAAATATTTAGTAGATATATCTACATTACTCTTATCTGAACAAGACCTATGACTACGTAATATACTGCATGCAAATTATATAATGTTACCCTGCATAGTCAGATGATCCTATGACTTCTCATTTTTGACCATTACTGTACGCGAACAGAAAGCTGGCCTGACAATAGTGCTAATCGAAGTGTCGTCATCCGTTGATTCTAGAGCAATAATGGGTGGCTTGTGAGGTTCCGTACCGATATTGAATTGATCCTGCAATCTCTAGATAGCATTGGACTAGTTAATGCCAATTGTTTACTACTGCTCTAAGCTTCTTGTAAGTAACTTAAGTTCCCTTCTGGAGCAAATGACAAAGCATTCACAGCTCGATTCTCATGTATGCAACCGGCTTCTTCGAGTGACGTCATGTTATTTTATAATTACGGGTAAATTTTGGAACGTAATCTATTTGAAAATAGACTTCAAGGACTTATTATAAGATATTATAACTCTCTTGTCAATTATCAGCTTTTAAAAAATATTTAGATGCTCCTTATGAGCTATGCTGAATCATTGTTGCCAGCGGCTTTCTTTACTCTGAAATATCCAAACTGTGATAGTTGCTATTTTCTAGATCTAAGTAACAGTACATGTCGACGAGAATACAAAGCATGGAGAAGGAAAGAAAGAAGAGAACTAGCTAGGAGACATGAGGGCTTTATATAGTTAGGATGTCCTAGTAGGCTTACCAAGGAGTATATTGTACGAAAAACCTCACAGCTACCCGATCAGGAACCACTAGCCCTAGTGCTGAAGGAACTGCCCGAAAGATCCGTCATACAAACCTCAGTTGCTTTACGATTGATATCACTGTGGCTTTGACTAGGCCGCAAAGGCATAATCATCACCAATAGCCAGTAGATATGAGTAGCTCTGAGATCCGTCAACTATGCTTCCACTGCCTTCCAGCAACATAACCATAGGTATAGCTGTTGCCTATACTACAATTGTCGGAGACCTGTTTGGCGGGTCGAATAAGATTTCCACACCTCGTGTCAGCATTATTATAATTTATTAACCTTGGTCTATATTTAGAACGTGACAGGAAATAAATCTATGGAACTGGCTCCCTCTATTTGTTTCAGTTCTCTGAGATCAGGGATCTGGGATCCCTGATTGAACTTTAATTTTCTTGTGCACCGCCTCTTAATGATCACCGAAGATAAACCTCATCCATTCTGTCTGCAACACAACAAATACATCCTAAGTGTCACGGACCTGGATTTACTATAGTTGTCACTGGCTGTGTCGAGGTACGATACGGATTGGTGAACCACACAGAGGTTCGTAGGGATGTCTCGTAAGTGAACGTTGAACAGTAGAATAGTAACGGGGCGTTAGTAACACAACTAAAGTTGAAGAAGTCCCTTAAAGTATCGTAATACTTTAAGTATGGTTTGCCTTGCTGACCCTTTCAGCGTATAATCAAAGTAACTTAGATTAAAGAACTATGAAGAACTAAATACATGATGTGGAATAAGCGTCCTTATATACCTAGTCCTCCGCGTTTTGTATATCATATATCGTATACTTCTTGGAGTAGGAGATAGAAAGTATACGATTTCCTTCTAATGAGCGTTAGTTGTTTCGTATACTCCTTATCTTATCAAGATAGGAGTATATTATTCATATCAACACGTGACTTGGAGTGCGTTTTCTTCTGTTAGCCGTGTGTCCCGTGTGCTGGTAATCCCTCGTACCTTATTGCCAGCGATTAGCAACCAGTTAATCCGGTACGGGTTCTTACCATCTCAGTCCGAATGATTCCTCTTCTGAGATAGTGTCTTCTAGCGTCATGCAGGTAGTTTCATAACACTAAGTCTACTTAGTTATGGGAAATGGCAATCTCTCTTTAGACAGAAATATCACTGTAAACCGTTAATGAAGTAAGTATAGAGGAGTAATTATTCCCTAATCCTAGATAATGTGAATCTAGTAGAAATAAATCCCTACATAAACGACTAGCGACGATGAGAGCAGCTATAAGTATGTCTATCAAGCTTTTAAGCTGGTGTATTCTGGTTGGAGGCTCCGTACTGCTCTTCCAAAGTTCCTAATTCCTTCTTTAAATCTCTGGTGAAAGGATTGTTTAAACTTGTATTTTGTATAAAGTGCTCTAAGCTAGATACCTAAAGTCAATTGGAATACTCTATAGTAGTCTCAAACAGATCAGCTTAGATTTATACCACCACCTGTTTGGGATAAAGAAAGGATATGTAATCAACATCTACCAATTTATATTCACTACTCGAATATGTGGAGTTATCCTCATTAACTGGACCACATCAAGAGTCACATAACCAGATTCTTATGGCACCACCAAGTGTGTTCTGGCAAGAAAGTTTAAGAAAATAAAAACGTTAGACATCGGCAAGTTTTTATAAATCGACGTGTAAGAATTCCAAATTCTTTAAAATATCCCACTTGTCATTCTCGCCCGCAAATTCCACTCAGATACCAAGTGTGAAATATATCACTTATCCTTGACCCTAATGGCGCTTTCGTAGCCGTCTTTGTACTCCCCTCCAATAAAGAAGACGACAAAAAACTCTAATCAATCAATGAGTAATTTCATAGCAAATATACACTGGCCAGCATTCTTACCGCCAAGACTGAGGAGCTGGTCCCCAGTAATATCAAAGCTCGCGAATTCGTCACGGAGTTTCTGTTTGGATTCCTCGGATTCAGAGCTAAAGATATCCGACAGCTCGTCAAAGCTGAGATGTCCTGCGAATGCAGTCAGTTTTAATAGCTAATTCCGTGACACTTAGCACCCTACCGTCACAATTTTGGTCCTACACAGAATGATAGTTTTCAGCACTTGTTATTTATTTAAGAGACTTCCTCATCACGTACCTTGCTATAAAAATGCCCCAACACGTTTCGAATCACATTTAAAGAATAGTAAACATCCTGGCAGTTGATTAGAGGATAAAAGTATCGTCATTGATAGATTCTTACTTCTGGAGGGTCTTTGATTAATATATCAAGGCAAGCTGCCCGGGTTTTCCAAGCTGCTTCCCTTTCCGCAGCTTTGGCCTTAGCAGCCTCTTCCCGCGCTTTCTCTTCTAGCTTTACTAGGGTCTCATGCCCCCCCATGTTCTTGACAATCTCAAAAACTGTGCTCATGGTGAGTATAGTCGAGTACGGACCTAAAGCTATGTGTTGAAGAACAATGTTAAGGCCAGGCTGATATGGAATATATCAAGCTTGTGAATACTGAATTTTTTCATCTACCAGATTAAGGGCGAAGTGTCTATCTTATATACCCATGCTAACCTCATCGGATATGTGAAAGACTAGGTCTGTATACGCTGTACCATGCAGAGTAGAGGTATTATGCAGTGCCATAATTACAATCTTTGCACATGCAGATGGGATTCCATCATTGTATGCCGAAATAAAAGGCAGTAGATCCCCCAAGTATGATAGGTCTCAACCAATCAAGTCGATCAATGCTAGGGCTACGGCCAAAAATCTCCACATTAGTCAGATATTCACTAGCTAGATTAGTCGCGGAAACTCCGAATGATAATTATCCTTTTACAACCCATAACAATCAACTCCAGACTTACTCCATGTATCCCTGTCATTGAAGTCCTTTCGCCAATGCATCGGCGCCTGAAAATCTCTTTATTGAGTTCATTAGACCATCTAAACCCCATTACGGTCAAGTCTCCTGGCAGGATTTAGTGGTTTGATACACAGGCAGCGATGGCTGCTTTAAGCATTATAATTCGAGATTGCGGTTGCAGGCAGCTACTTATTTCTTTTTCCCTTTTCTCTATTTTGCTTTGGCCTAGTCCTCTTAAGGAATATCTTGATAAATGAGAAGCAGGTAAGTGGGGTAAATTAATCCACAACATTAGTACTCGTGAGGATTGGCAGACACCACGTAAAGCGACGAATAACAAATGCTTGCATTCAATCAAAATAGGATGGCCTTTGTATAGGCGGACGACATTTGGTATTACAAAAGCTCACCTATTTAATTGTTAGTAAGTTCAGGGTAGTACTTCGTTTACATGTATGAAAATAGCGAATAAACTATCCAAGGCGGCCCCCGAACGCCCACCTGGTCAGGATTGGACACGAGAATGTGTCCATTATTGCCATTAGTTAGTGTCCACGCTGTCTTGAACTAGCTATGATTAAGGTTCTTTGCGATTATCTTTTTTGAAAGCCTTAGTTATATCTAGATGAGATGGCAATTTTTTGGGGATGAATTCAGCATATAAGTGAATATATGCAGTATTAGTCGTACTTTCAAACATGAAGGCTGATCCAAAAAGCTCTAATCGAAAGGCTAGTCAACGAAACCTAAAGTTACATCTGCGAACTTTTTAGACGAATAAAGGCACAGCTTTTCTTCCAGAATAGTCCATCCCATACCATTCATATCAGCCCAAAACTAAGGGGTGTGAGCTCGACTGCGTATAGACGACAGATATGACCTATCAAGAAACTATGATGGGAGTACCAATAGTTACAGAGCATTTATATAATATTGAGGACTCATAAGATGCCTGCATTAGTGGAATAGTCTCTTCTGAACACACCGCTGGTCCTAAGGTTACACAGATACTCGGGTCGTCACAGACCTTGATCATCATGCAGTCTTGCCAACTCACATGCATGAAGGTATCCAGAGTGTTTGCTGCAAATCCTCTACGATAATGTTGGTTCTTTATTTTACCCCTTGCTTTCACTGTAATTTTGCAGTCAGCAGACCATTTGCAAAAAGCACAATGTCTGAGAACAAACGCCTTGACGTGATTAGATTTGTTAGATTTGAGGATTGGTAGCTTGAAAATGACTTAACAGTACTCACATATGCCCCCTACTTGCCCACACTTTCATCATTTCCTGTTTTTACGGGTGTATCGGTCTGCAAATACTATATAAGAGTGTAATGCAAATACCATGAATCTTAACTAAGTCATAAAGAGGGTGCTATCTAGCTATTAGACCCAATAGAGCCATAACCTTTAGAAGTTTTCGTACCATGAGAAATTTCTAGGAAGACGTATCAGACGGCATTTTCCTGGATCAGCCGAAAGATCTGACATGTCAGCTCAAGCTGCTACGGAAATCCAGAAACCTAGCCCCAATACCATAAACAGCTTCTATTCCGCTATTAATTCTCAGCCCGAGGCGGTCAGCCTATACAGTAGATCAGTAGGTATTCGTAATCAAGTTTAATGTTACACCAACACGATCTAGGTGGAGCTCCTTGTTATTAAGCTATTGATACCGATCCATATGGGAGACCTAAGCTTGCTGGAGGAAGAGTAAACGCTAGGAATTGCATCATACCGACATTTAAATGCCTTAGGAGATTGATACAGTGATTTCTGCATGAAGGTCTTCATCGATTTCGGAAAGCCGAAGAGAATAAAACATGCAAAGCTACCTAAATAATCGTATCTTCAAGAGAAGAAGCCGGGATGTAATAAATGACTAGTCTAATAATAAGTACCATCTCCTCTTAGCAATACTGGCCCAGAGAGGCCAGTAAGGAAATTATAAAGGCCAGATTCAACATGTTATTATGTTTAACAATTACAATTTTGACATCTACTGATTATTTGAGGCACCTAAGTACCCATCTTTATTCCTCTCGTCCTCTAGCAAAATGGATCCTAGCACTTCCGAGGCCCGCATCGCCCACTTTAAAGAATGGCTGCTAGCCAAATCTGCACCACAGAAAACCGTCGGCCTTAAACCCGGAAGCAATCTTCTCCTTGGTGCCACCATCCACGGCCTCTCCCGTCGCAGCAATGGCCACAGCCTTACTGACATCGAAGCATTAGGTCTCAAGGTCTTTGAGGCTATTTCAGTAAATGAGGAGGAGCTGCATGCGTATGGCAAAATTTGTTCTGAGGCAAAATCTGCCGCTCGACAGGGTGGCTTTGCAGCAGCCAACATCCCTAGTTCTATCATAGAACTCTCCGATGACAATCCCCTTACCAGGGAAATGTTCAACGAGGAGGTGAGAAGACTGGGAGCGGAAACAGTCTTGCAGCCACACATTCGATCCATCAGGCCTGATCAAGTCATGCCAGATGGCGAGATCCCTGAATCGGAAGAATATGCCTCTGCTTCACAATCACTGGGACGAGGTTTGACCATGTTTGTTGACCCTGGAGAGAGTACCCAGGATGTGAAAAATGCAGTCTCTGCCGCGTACGTAGAACTTCGGCCAAAAATTTTCAAGTGCTATCGAAGGTCCGGGGAACTGGGCAAAGATGAAGTGTACTTTACTTGGGGATTTGGTGGTGATAATGGGGAGGAATCTTGGCACAAAACCGAAGAATTCGGCTCAGTTGTGAAAGACATTGTTCTTGACTTCCCTAATCCTCCCCATCTTTTCAAAGGTTGGATCCAGAAATGTCTAGCTGGCACCATGATATGCTGGGAAGCAGATCATAGCAGTTCGGAGTGGCGTGAGAAAGTGAAATTGGCTATGTCGGAGCTAGCGAGAATGGCCAGGAATTTGAGTATCGATGTGGGGAACGACTCCCTAAACGAGTTGATTGGTCTTCTTCCAGGATTCAGTGAATACAGCGATATGACCTTTTGGATTGAGAATATCGCGACTCTCATCAGTGCGCTGCTTGATTGGCTCAAAAACAAAGATGACAAGGTCAAAGAGAATAATTATGGCTGGTCAAAAGAGTGGTTAATTCAACAGTATGAATACCGTAAATTTCCTCCTGGAAGCCAATACTACCTCGAGTTGATGTTCAACGGTGGAGGACAAGGTCAACATGCTGTTTTCGCTGTGCCTTATGTTGCGGAATATCCTAATGGAATTCCTCCGGAGTGGGGAGGCAGACCCTAAGAAATTGAGTTATAGTACGCAGCTTTAGAATACTTTTGATTGAAAAGGTTGATGGACACCATTTACAAAAACAAACCATCTAAAAGAGATCTACTAGTGGAAATCTGTAGTATATGTGCCGGTGAGCGTGCCAGGATGCTCACTCGAAGTACCTTCTCTTTGCTTCGAGTTCCCGTCGATGTATCGCTTCCATTTCCTCGTAAATTTCTATCCTGGAGAGCACCAGGCCAACGTTATTAACACTCGTGAGCGTGTTAGGATGCTCCAGTCCGAGCACCTCCTCACCTCCTTCTAGTGCCCGTCGATGCGCAACTCTTAAACTCGGCCATTATTGTCAACATAACAACAAAATAGAAATCCGAAGGCAACCAGGAGGATACTAACAGCTGGCACAGCTGCTATATCCCCTAGTTTGCATGAAAAGTTCTAGTAAACGAACCATGGATTGTTCTCTACTAGCACACTGTATTGGGATGTCAAGTGACGTCATGTTATTTTGCAGTAAGTTACAGCGTTCGCGACCTCGACGACTTCGACGGTTTGCGGGCGGGCCAGGAGTTAGAACGACCGGTGTCGACGGTAAGACAATCTCTTCTTCCATCATAGGCCTCGGTCCTACGGACGCAACTAAACTTCCATGTCGATGGTGCTCATCCCGCCTGTAAGAAATCCAACCATACTGACCATTATTTCGATTTCGTCTCGAGGTGCTGGTCGTCGGATGGGAACTGGGTGGAACGGGGTCTGGTACACTAGTTGCTTGTTTCACGTTGACTAAGATATCGCATGTATTTGAAAGGGAGCCCGGTGTCGATTGGTGAATGGTAGATGCCTCTGTCACTGTAGCGTAGCGCCTTTATTATCGTTGTGTCTTGGACAATGTCCGATTTCAGCTGGGTGACCGATGATTGACTCTTTCTTTCTATCGCCCACGATGGGGGCGGTGGAGGAAATGCAACGGATTGTTGTTCCTTGGTTTTCAGTTTGCCCTTTCTCCCTGAGTTCTGTTTCTACTGCTGCTTGGCTGTGGTTGATGATTGCAAGCTGTTCGGCCACAATTACAGTCAACAATGTTTCGTCGACTGCTGCTGAACGTGGGGTTCAGAAAACCATTTTTTGGATTGTAGGGAGCACGACGGCGTGAGGGCCCTCCCTTCGCTTCGTTTACAATCATATTGTATAATTAAATATTCATCCAGACAAATTAGCAGGGTTGTGCGGTAAAAGGATAGGTAGGGAAGAGTTTTAAGAAGAAAGAGAGATAGGTACCCCTTCACCTCTTCACCTCTTCACCTCTTCATTCCTTCATTCCCCCTCACAGCAAGCACCATACCGGAAAATCTCACGAGACTTAACAGATTAACATTCAGATTCAGAAATATCAAAGGTCAGCCTCCTAGGAAGTATGTCACAGCAGAGAAATTTCAAAATAAATCTTTCCAATTGAAAGTAAACCAGCATAGAGAACCCAATCTTACTGTACCAGACTTCATCTCTAGCATGAGACTGGCAGTATTTCTATCTCAATGCCCGTGTTTCGAAAATGTCCCTTGGCGTTTTGCTCCCTTACACTTACTGTTTCAACACACCACTCAAGGGAATTATCAAATCCTTGACTAGGGTTATCTTCATACGATTGCCAATAGCATTGTATAAAGGCCTTCAGCTCAACAAAGAGCTTCTTAATTAGATTCAAATCTGGAGAGTATGGGGGTAAATATATAAGCTTAACACCAGCGTTTGAACACATTAACTTGATATTTTCAGAATAGTGAAAGGAAGCATTATCCATGATGATAACTGACTTCAGTTCTAGCCATTTTCCATAATGATGAAGCAGCTCTTCAAAGAACTTTTCAAAGAATGAAGTATCTATGGAGCCTTTGAAGATATAATACATGATAACACCATCATAAGCATAAGCTGGGAGAGTTTAATAACACTAATCGCGATAGAATTTGATTACCTAAGCTAGCACTACACCAAGAAGTGACCACCCTGTCCTTCTGAAGCCTGCTCTCTTATCACATCCTAATTCATCCACATATACTAGATGATACGATTGAAATCAGAAATCAAGTATATATAACCATCCCGTAAGTCAAAATTTCTCTAACTAGCTTTTTGTTTAAAAATCTTTTTGGACCAGCCCTCCCATTTAAGAGTACAACTGATATCCCATGTTTTCACTTCTACACCAAAGTTATCCCATATAAAGATTGCCATCTCATCCAGATATAACTGAGGCTTTTCAAGCAGATAATCACAAAGAGTCTTGATTATTACTGGCGTAAGACAGTATGGACGCCCACTTTTATTTAGAGATGCTGTCACGCTACCTAAACATGTGGAAGTTGGACTAATGTCGTCTGATTGTATTTGGATGGTATTGGGCAGCTTCGGCTATCTGAGAGGTAGTGAGTTCATTGCTCATAATTATATCTTGTGTAAACTCTCGAGTTGATGATGCTAGCCTTGGCGCCATTTGGATCTCGTACTGTGGTTTCCTATCAAAATGGAAGATTAAAGTTGCATGGATCTTCAGGAGGATCTTCCGCTAGTGGAAGCGTACGCACGTGGGGTAACATGTGTATTACGAATACACAGCCTCCACTATTCTGAGTCAGGAAACATTCCATACTGTCTCAATACCTGAACCTGAGACAGGGGCTCGGAAAAATTCACAAATATGGACTAGCGCCATATTGGCTACAGGGGTTCAGAAACAGTGACTATCCCTACTAGGTACAGTTAAGCACAATCACGAGAGTACCAGATGCTAGATTCTCCTCGATATCCGCTCTCTCAGTTGGAGTGTCATACATCCTTTGGAGCGTATGATTTGATGATCACTCACTGTGGATGATACTGATTTCAGTTCGTTTGTTGAGTTCGGGAGATGAGCTACCATCGTTGGTAAATTGCCGCTTACTAATGCCGGTCATCTGAAGTATCCGAAATTACCAGCCTGAAAAGTGGAAGAATGTTGCAGTTCCAGTTGTCAGGGGCGCTGACATAGATAGGGAAGCCAGTTACTTGGACAGTTAGCCACCCGATCTGTTTAAAAATGTTCTATAGAGCATGAAACACAAAGCTTGGTCTGATTTTGGAGAGAGCCCCACTTGACTCTATTTGGATCGATCTGAATCGTGACAGCAGGTTTGGTCTGGAGCATGGGTTTGGAAAATGATTGAAGCGAGTAACAGCGCGCACCGATTTTTTTATCATCGTGCGGATTCATGCCCTGCCACTCGAATATTCTTATGCTTGATGTTGTGAATCGCATGTCTAATCTAGGTCTTACTCATAGCAGATAAAATCCGGTACTGCTAGTAAGAAGAACGATCTGAATCGGATGAGTCGATCCAATCCGTGACAGACTCGTTGCGGATTGGTAAGAAAGATTTGATAAGACGGTATGTCTACACAAAGCGAATTCAGCTCCAATTGAAGTGGTCATACAGTGGGTCCACTGTTTGTTCGCGCGTTGATTCCAAGACTAGGCTTATCAAGCTGAAGTACAGACATAAGTATTGCCTACACACTACCAGTTACTCATCCTATCTGATGCTTCACAACCTCATCACGATGCGATCTATTGGAGCACTACGTGGCCTAGACCGGTTGCCTACCGAAATTATTCTTCTCATTATTCAACTACTTCCATCCTGGGAACGAAAACAGCTGTCTGGGACAAACAAGAGAATGAGGGTAATATGCACACCATCAATCTTCAAATTCGTCCGTTTTGAGTTCTCCAGAAGCGGTCTGCGAGAACTTAGGAATCTCTCCAACTCGGGGATTCGACAGCATGTTGTTTCGTTCACGTACGTTGTACCGGAACTGCTGAGGCCCGGTAGGAGATCTTCCTGACAGCATCGGGATATGTAACTGGCTGACAATCTCTTCCTCTAAAAAATAGAAGTAGTTGACTTTAATTATTTCAAGTCAATGGCACTGACACCAGAAGACTACGTTGAGGAGGCTAGATCACTTTATGATTTTGGGTATCCCCCAACCGAATGTCCCCCGTACATGATGATATATCATTCGTTGCAGAAGTTGTGCAAGAAGCAGAACTTCATCATAGAGGGAAGCATGGACCAGACCGCGCTATCACATGCCTTTCAAGTGTTTCCCCAAATGAGGGAGCTGACGCTTCATTTCTGCACGGTACTGGAATGCAATGAATGGCTGGAATCATACATCAAGCCGGACATGACGATGACAGAGAAATCTTATGAGCATCATGTGCAGGTGATGTCAAATGCCCTCGCTCTTGCTCGTCTCAGGGGCGGTCTGGTTGACACAATTCATCTATCGGGGCTACAGCTCCGGCCGCACCATGTCAAGCTGTCAGATCTGATGGCGATGTCTGGAGCTTTGCAGGAACTTTTGAGCGGTATGCGAAAACTTCGAGTGACGCAGTCCCAGTCGGCTTTGGATTTGCTCTCTCAGTGCGCATTGGACGTGTGTCAAATCGACTTATGTTCGTTACTGGTCAACTATGAAACTTTGAGAAATCTTCTAGTCATAAACAAGAGCTCCCTCGTTTCAATCGGGTTCCATAACGTGCAACTATCGGAGATGCCGGAACGCATTCCGCCTCAACTGACAGCGAACCTCTTGCTTAAAATTCTGAGTCAGCCAAAAAATGCGCCAACTTTAGAGACAATCTGCCACTGTGTGCCATATGGGAATAGAAATCAAAGGCTATTATTGGAGGAAACAGCCAGATCAACTTCTTAGCTAGCTTAACATAATGCAATTTGATGATGAAATGATATCTTCGATTTATGCTAAATTTTAAAATGAATACCTACAACACAAGAGTCATCTAGCTAAGGTCGGACTACTTACAACAACATTTCTAACCAATATTTTCGCTGTTTATGTGGCGAGAGCTTGTCTTTTCTCATCAGCTTTCCCCCGCATGTTCGCATTCGACATGGAACCACTGCTCTGCTCTGTGCGCGGCCTTCACATGAGCAAGGGGAGTTCAAAGGCTTGGGGCGGGTTGTGGGGCGTCTAGGGCTACCGTAGACTTTGGGGAAAAAGCAATTAGACTTGAGCATCACATTGACGTTCTTCATACACCTGGCGGGATGTTCTTGGTGTGATAATTTTGTGTGTGGAAGCCCATTGAGAGTTAGTATTCATCCGTAGAGTGATGGAGTCAGATACGAACAAATCATAGGTGTGCTAACCATGGCAGAGAGCTACAGTCTCAACATTTGTTTATGCTTGCATCGACACCAGCTGGTTGTTTCAACGGTGGTCTCAGATGGTTCCAGATTCGGCCTGGAGATACCATCTACCTTGGGCCGATTCAAACAGGATAATTTAAACTAACAGCATTGATTGTTCCTTCATGCAGGTAATTGAGTCAGATCGTTTCCGGTTTCTGCAAGAAGGTAGTAATTCATTCAATCTAAAGACTTGGGATCGATTGAATCGGGTCAAAATTTCAACTCTATCGGCTGGACTTTTAGTGAGTTCGTTCTCTGAAGCCAAAAACCATGTATGTATAAGATCCAGTATCTCCCTCGATATATCAACGTTGAAAGAGCACCTATGCTATATTTCTCTCGAGCTAAACACGATGGAAACGGCACTTACAAAGAACGAAAGAAGGCCACTTGCCTCCCTTTCTAGCGCTCAGATCGAGCGAAGGCGGTACCTTCAGAAGCGCAATCGGCGTAGAGAAAATCTGATAAAAAAAGCATTCCAAATGTGCATCCTTTGTGACACTGAAATATTTCTCGGCATCCGTGTCAAGGAAACTGGTCAAGTCACAACATTTTGCTCAGATCCCGCCGGTATTTGGTCCTCTTCACTATCATGTTTGGTATGTAGTTCAAAACTTAGGAAATGTACGATGGGATTTAATGGTACGTGTTTAGGAGTCTTATTACCCGGTTCCTATTCACAAGACACTAGACGACTTCCTGAAAACACGAGAGGAAGATGAGGAGGACCAAGGAGATCCGAATAGCGAGGAAGCTGAGAGAGAGGGTTGAACTGATTGATAATCATTCCGCCGTCCTGAAATGCTACTGTGTGTCGCCTACGGTTATGTGGTCCGAGGATTACCATATTGGAAAGATGCATGCAAATGTATCAGATACTTGATTCCGACGGTAGACAATGCTGTTGGATATTGTAAAAAGCAAGGAATATAACGAGGCTCTTGGATCCCTTTGCAGCGACTTTGATCTAGACCTTTAATGTGATACAAGATAGCAACGAGTATTCTTCTTAGTTTCTGTGATAAGCCCAATCACTCAGAATTATGAATCTGCTATCCATTCCCGGATTGCTATTAGGCAAGGCTGAAATTTGCAACATAAATTGCACTGACCGATCGATCATATATTGTCCAAAATACTACTTCAAAGTGTGTCGATGTTTTTTCCTACGCCCCTGATATCAGAAATCATTCTATCTTGCCTACTCAACAGCTTTACATACTATGGTAATTACGAAATTCTCTACAGATGCCCTATCTGGCATCTGCACGCAGGAACAACTTAACCTCCTGGACTCGGTGGACACTCTGCGTTTACAAGGAATCAGCCACTATGTGTCGCTACCACAAATTATTGTCTGCGGCGATCAATCGTCTGAGAAGAGCTCTGTTCTGGAGGTAATATCCGGGGTTGCATTCCCAGTGAAGAGCAATCTCTGTCAAGGTTTCCCACTGAACTAGTGCTACGCAAGAGTTCGCAGATCGGAGTGAGCGTATCTATCGTCCCTCACCCCTCACGAAGCGAATCGGAACAGCGCTCATTAAGCACATTTCGAGAAACCCTAGACAGTTTCGACAGTTTACCCACTCTGATCGAAATGCTAAGAGTATCATGGGAATCTCGACGCACGGCAAAGCCTTTTCAAAAATGACATACTCCGTGTTGAGGTCGCAGGACCCGATCGGCCTCATTTGACCATTGTTGATCTCCCTAGCCTCATCAACATCTTGCCAATTATTCCAGGGTGGTTCCGCAGGGTGGGTCTCTGTCAGTTCATTTCTTCGTCAACCCATCCTAGTCTCTTTCCCACGACTGAACAACCTTTATTGTCGCTTCATCATCAGGAATATTGTTCGTACTTATAAGTTCTCAGGTAACTATTATTTTCCAGCTGAAGGGAGAGTAATCGCCCAGACCACAGCAAATCAAGCATGCCCCCCTCTTCCAGAGTATCTCCTCCGTTCGATCAAAGGAAACCCAACAACGAGTCCAGAGCCCATCCTCCAGTCGTCGATATAGCTTACGACAATCACGACATTTACCTGAACATTACATTGTGAACTAGAGTTTCTAGGCAGGAAGGCCTTCTGCAGCCTCGGCCATGACTTTTCTTTGGCTAACTTTCAGGCTCTGTAAAGTCTTTCGTTCCCGCTTGGTGTGGCGTGCATCATATTTCTCAATCATTTTCCCAGATCCAGCACAGTTGTCAATATATAATGACCACCTTCACCGCCCACAGCAGACTGGAGCAGACCAAGATTTGACAAGGCGTTATATAGTATTATCTTTCAATTATGTTATCATACACCGTTTAGTAAATTTGGGAGTGTGGTAGGTTTCAATTCCATATTCATGTGGCCACAACGCGCAAAATAAAAGATTGACTGTGATAAGCGGGACTATAAAGCAACAATGAACGCAGCTATCATCCTATTTCTTAGGAAATAGGGCTTAGCCAGATAGCTACAAGCTTATAGTGGTTTGATATATAAATAATAGTCCAGAATCCAATAAGCCTCTAATATAGGTCAATGATATGATATATTCTTAAGGAAAGTCCCAAAAGAGCCTTAAAAATTGGTCGCAGCTCCATAGACACTACTTGGGTTTGGGCATCCCAGGATGCTCAAATGCTAGGTTGTACGACTATAAAGAGGTCTCTATCCGCACTCGTAGAGAAAGAATTCAGTAGAGCAAGTAAGAAAATCATTGGCTCATTAGCGCATTAGCGTTTTATGACTTGGAGTGCATAGACCCAAAATGTTGGAAACACTTCAAGTGTCCCCCGTCTCTTACATCATCTTGAAAGCGGTAATCACGAACCAGCTACAGGAAAGAGTGTTAGGATTGGCAGCACTTGCAGACATAGCAAATAGAGTCGTATTATGTCTTGGAGTAAAATGTCAGAAATAGAGCCTTTGCATTTGCATTACAGTAAAGGAAAACCTAACATGATTAGGGAAAACCTATACCAAGGCTTGTAAAAAAACAGCAAACATTCGCAAAGGAGAAGCCAATATTATCCCCCGACGGTTTGAGACACAGCACGGAAATTTTGTTGGCCAAACCTGTTTTAGAGTAAAACTTTAGTTGGTTAACTGGCGTGATGTCGTCTCCATACTGACATTTGTTGAGTTTTGAAAACCTGTCCTCTTCAAGATACCCAGCTGTGGTTTTACTAGATATACTGTGAGTACTATAGACGTGTAGTCATCTCCATTTGGCTCATATTCATCACTTACAAGCTGACCACATCCCATCCTATTAGCACTGTACACTTGTAATCATCTCTCTTTAGCTTAGGTTCATCACTTACAGGCTAACCACATTCTATCTTATTAGCATTATATATTTATAGTCATCTCTCTTTCACTTAAGATTATTATTTATCCCCTAAATACATTCTATCCTGTTAGTACTATATATTTATAGTTATCTCTCTTTAGTTTAGGTTCATTACTTATAAGCTGACCATATTCTATCTAATCAGTATTATACACTTGTAATCATCTCTCTTTAGCTTAGGTTCATTATTTATATTCTAATTATATTTTATTCTGTCAGCATTATTTACTTGTAATCATCTCTCTTTAGCTTAGGTCCATTACTTATTCCTTAAAAATATCTCATCTTGTCAGTACTATATACTTATAATCATCTTTTTTTAGCTTATGTTTATTATTTACAAGCTAAGTGCATCTTATCCTATCAGCATTATACATTTATAGTCATCTCTTTTTGGTCTAGATTCATTACTTATAGGTTAATTATATCCCATTCTATTAGTACTATGTATTTATAGTCATCTTTCTTTGGTTCAGGTTTATCACTTATATTCTAATTATATTCTATCATGTCAGCACTATGTATTTGTAGTCATCTCTCTTTCATTCAGTTTCATCACTTATAATCTAACCACATCCCGTTCTGTCAGCACTGTACACTTGTGATCATTTCTTTTGTATGGGTTCATCACTTACAGCCTAATCACATCCCATCCTGTTAGCACTATACACTTATAGTCATCTCTCCTTGGCTCAGGTTCATCACTTACATTCTACTTATATCTCATCATGTCAGCACTATGCACTTGTAGTCATCTCTCTTTGACTTAGTTTCATCATTTACAAATTAATCACATTCTGTCCTGTCAGCACTATACACTTGTAATCATCTCTTTTTAGCTTAGATCCATTACTTACAGTCTAATCACATCCCATTCTGTTAGTATTATATACTTATAGTCATCTCTCTTTAGCTTAGATTTATCACTTACATGCTAACTATATCTTATTCTATCAGTATTGTATATTTATAATCATCTCTCTTTAGTTTAGGTTCATCATTTATATATTAATCACATCTTATTCTGTTAGCATTTTACACTTATAATCATCTCTCTTTAATTTAGGTTTATTATTTACATGTTAATCATATCTTATTTTATTAGCACTATATATTTGTAATTATCTCTCTTTGGCTCAGTTGATTACTTATTTCCTAAATCACATCCCATCCTATCAGTACTGTAAACTTATAGTTATCTCTCTTTGGTTTAGGTTCACTACTTACATTCTGATAACATCCCACTATATCAGTACTGTATATGTGTAGTCATCACTCTTTGGCTCAAATTCATCACTTACAAGCTAATCACATCCCACTCTGTTAGCATTATACATTTGTAGTCATCTCTCTTTAGCTTAGTTGATTACTTACTCCCTAAATTACATCTTATTCTATCAGTACTATGAACTTATAGTTATCTCTCTTTGGCTCAGGTTCATTACTTACATTCTGATAATATCCCACTATATTAGTACTGTATATGTGTAGTTATCACTCTTTGGCTCAAGTTCATCACTTACAAGCTAACCACATCCCACCCTGTCAGCACTGTACACTTGTAGTCATCTCTCTTTGGCTCAGGCTCATACCTGTCTTTTTGTGAATCCCTCACCAGACAATGAATCTATAGGCACTGCTGCCACAACTGTGGCTACAATAAACGCCATGGCAAATGATAGTACCTTCATATTGACACAATTATCACCGTTATAGAAACTGGAGTGTTGTGTTTGGAGTGATAAGTGTCACAGGATAGATCCAACTAAGTAGCACAAGAGCTAAGCAACACAAAGACTTCGACAGGAAGGAAAAGTCATCAAAGAACCTCCTCCATACGCTCCGAGTCGCCCTTTTTAAACAACTTGTACGGACTAATGATAACTCCTCCGCATTAACAGAAACTCCTGTGAGTGGACCTCTTGCGAGGACAAGCGCGTGTGTCGCCCGAGCAAATGGATCTCACGGAAACTGCAGGACCAAAATCAAATATCCAGCCTGGTCAGCCTCAGTGAATGGCTGGTTTATCATCTTCATCACTCCGGTCAAGTCACACAATTCAAATCTGATTCGTCAACTGCACAAATTGCTTTGCAAGTTCGCTCGTCATTGAGAGGATGAACAATGTGTGGCAAATATAATCGATCGCCCCAACAGAAAAATTGAGACCTGTGGACTGGTACTACTGCCTACGGTCTATCAACAATTTCTTCCAGATAAATCGTAGCAGGGCTCCGTAGGCGAGGTATTTACTAGTAAAGAAAAAGCGCAGACAGAAGGCTTTATGATAGGATTACTTTACGGCTATCCCGGATATGGTGATTGCAGCGCATAAATCCGCTCGGGTGCCCTTATTGGATATCAATCGATCCTCGTTAAGGATTTGCCAAGAATCCTCCTTACTAAACTAGCGCGCACAATCTTGTGCTTGAGAGGCAAGCTCGTTATTCACACAGACAAATTTCCCATCCTCAAGGCAGTAGATGACACCGACAAGTCTATTTCTCATTGGCTGACAACTCATATCACTAGCATGGGAGCCAAGCTGAGAAGAATACTGAGCAGGTCATTGTTGGTGGTGCTCAACCTACTTGTGTCCTGCACAACTCTAAATTAGGGGCTGTACAAGGGCGCACAGTCCCTAATGTTGTTAGCGAAGCGTAGTGAGGAGCCCCCATTCTCAGGAACACAATATTTTAAGGAGTTTGACTACCCATTCTCAAGAATGCTCGACGCTTATTTGACAGTGTTCACACCGCCGCTTATTGGTTCGTTCCAAGTCTATTAGGGTTGTACAACAGACGAGAAGTGTTGACGATCCTGTAGATACTAAATAGATTCGCCACAGGTCCGCGCTGATCACCGAAATAACCGGTATAGATTGATCAAACGCGCAGCGACACCTGTGTAACAGAAAAGCTACCGCGGTTGCGGCCGAGAATCCATCTGTCTGAGTTGTCATGAGCGTTCTCGGGTATATGCTCAGGTTGAGTCTAACACGCCAACAAAGTGAGTGAGTGCAGACAGTTTGATCAAGGGTAGATGAGTGACCAGAGCACAGCGTCCGGGGTTTAATAGCAGTCATATGAAAACAGAAGGTCTCTTCATTCGTGCTATTTAATATGATTGAATTGCAGCGTGGATCTCATTGTACATTCATGGCGTGGTAGATACCGGGTTGATTTAGAGGATTGGCCAGGCCAACAGACAGGTATGCACTAATTTGAGCGACTACGAGTGCCAATGTTGTTTTCCGTAAGACGGATCAATCACATCATCGATCAGACAATGTCCGATAGGCGGAGGGTTGTAAAAAATTAGCAATACCGAGATGATTTTGAAATACTTGTCACGATGCGAGAACGCTACAGATATTATCGCTTGTTGAGTGCATTGCTCAGAGAAATATATTTTGATTCCATCTCGAGGAAGAGCCATTCGTTCGTTCAGAAACACATTACATTGAATATCCTGATCACATTCGTCTGCCCTTCCAATTAGTCAAATCCTTTCACAACACAATTTACCACTCTTATTCCTTTGCTGCTGCTGCCATTTCTTGCGTGCAGATACCCAGCCAGAGTATGGACTCGGGACAAACAAGTAATGATGATAGCCCAAAATCATATTGTCTCGTCAGGAGACAGTCATCATCAACATCTTGCCAATTATTCCAGGGTGGTTCCGCAGCGACGTCGATTTGCCTGTGATCGCTGTCGGATGCAGAAGTTGCGATGCGACAGGGGCATCTAGAAACCCTCTATCATGCCATATAAAGGCTGCCACAAAGCACGCATTGAGTGTACCATCAGCTCGATTAACCCTCCTTTCAGTAAAGAAAAGTTGAAAGACATAGAATATACAAGCATGAGACAGGAGAAGACAGCCACAGTCCGGGACCCGGCCTATCATGCGCAACGAAATTTATCAACACCAAATCTCTCCCCTCAGCTATTGATGGACAATAAAACCAGCTTCTACCATGAGATGATTCCTATAGACACTGTCATAATGAGAACAGGGTTGCAAGTAGGAGAGTGCTATTTGGGCAACGGCGTATTCGAAGAGTATCCGGTGCTTGCGTCTTCGGGCGTCATGACGGCTCCTTCGGTTAAAGGTGATCATGAGTTCCAGATACCACTACATGCGGCATCTTTTGCAATATCCCGACAGCAGAACTGGGAAACTGAAAATGACTGTATCAAAGTCTCCCAGAGTTGTAAGTTTGATAAAAGTCAACGATCCTTTCTTTCCGAGGATGAATACACAATACTAAGTAAGATACAATACACGCAGCCTTTCCTAGTCTCGACCGCAGGGAGCGATGGTGGGACCAGGCAGTCTTACGAAGACTGCTTGAAACCAATATGGCCCTATTGGATGGTCAGACTCTGGTAGCTCAGGAGCTTGCCATGTTAGGATGTATAGATGCAGACATCGCTTTGACTAACCTTGAGTCGGCATCTCGGAATGTTTTGTGTGACTCAAAACGATTTCTCGAATTTGCGAAAGTGCTTATCGACGGTCAAGACGATCGAACAAAGGCGGTAATAGTAGACCCTGAGTCTTTAGCCGCGAATGCATTTGTGCCCCAGGTTCACACACCAGTTGATTCCGGACGTCTTTCGTATGGTTCCGTTGCCTCCTTCACATCATCCTTAATCTGTCAATCACCTTGGCAGGGGATACAATCCGAAGATACCCAGGTTCCTTTGATATTATCCATTGCAAATTGCTACAGCTGCTTGGTTGGCAGTTACCATATGATTCTCACCTACCTGCTTCATGAATTGATGGCTGTAACAATTTCGGAACAACGTAGTCAGTCTTCAACATTCTCAGGGTTAGCCGCCGCTCAGGTTCAGCGTCCTGATCGGGACTCGCGGCTTTGACTGATTTTTCATAACTGCGTGTGTTCCCTGGCGCAACTCGAACTGATCCTTGGATTACCTAAACGACATTGTGTCGCTTCTGGGATAGTGCCATTCGGACGTGTTTTACAACCTCGTTGTCAAAATGGGATCCTCTCTGGCCCTATGGCTGCGAACCTTATTACCACTCTTGTCAATCATAAATTCTGACTGTGCGTCAATGGGTTGGCAACAGGTAAGAACTCTATAAAGAAAGTCATCTCAACCATCAACCAGTTCTTAATGGCTGCTGGACATATATATTGAAACCATATTGAAGATAGTGCCTAGAGTATTGTTCTTTCCAAAGACCCTTTCCTTTCTTTATCTCTTGAGTGAGAGAGATATGGTAATATCTTATCCCTCATGTTTCTTCCACCACCGTTGTCTTAATATGTTCTAAAATAGCCGGGAAAAATTGAAATTGTCCAAACTGACGGGACAGGTAACTGATTGAGCAATCCGTTTTGAATCGCTATCGATGTACCTAGTTAGACTGGAATGACACAACTTATGAACCAGCATATAACCAAATCTACTCACCGTTCAAGACTTTCGAAAGTCTGATGGCATCATTTTTACCATACCTGTCCAGATGACATTTTCCAAAGGCGGCGCGTCAACTCGGACCTTAAAAGGGTCATTGGTCAGACGGGAAGATATGGATGAAGGTGCTGGAGAGAGGATCTGCCACGGACCGTCGGTGTACCGTACTTAAGAAATAAATTGGAAGAAGTGAAGGACTTTGACTATATGTATCAATCTTTGCCTGAAGATCTGGGAACTCCAAAAATTTTTATATTTCTATCTCTGCATTTGCATTAAAGCGTAGGGAAACCCGTGTTGGGAAAAACCTAAGCTGAGATACGATGTGTGTGCATGACTTGTTTTCCGGATTGCCCGTCTGTTTTATAGTTTAAGAGATGATGAAAACGCTGTTCCACTGGTCTTGGGGATTCGTTGGTCTTCCCGCAGGTAAAGCAAAGTTTCTGAGATAGCAAGGGCCGTTATTGACACGTCTGTCATGGATCACACTCCTACATGCTGAGACGGCGAGGCACTCGTCAACACATCGGGTAATGTTGATACTAGTGAAATGACCGACATCATCCCTTCCAGCCCAGTCTGTTTTGGTTAATAATTACATAGGACACTTGGAATTGCCGGGACTTACGGGCTCCGCCGAATACTTTTAGCATCCTCCCCTTATAAGCAACATCTCTCCCCACATTAACGGAGCCTTGTAATTGTTAGTACTGACCTCTTGTATCAAATAACAGTCTATCACTCACAAGCAGCTTCAACATTTTGGGTTTCACAGACATCTGGAGGCAAATCCCACTCGTCGTCTAGATCCCACTCGTCCGCCTCTCGAAACTCATACGCTATATAGACTCCTCCTGCAGCGTCTCTGAGAGAACTAGGTGCGGTACCAGACACCAAAATTCGACAACGGTTGCCTGTCTGATCCACACGACCATCCCATAGGCTCCCTTTGCAGTTGGTTTCGTCCACACATGCCTGGATACAGGCATTGATGTCATTCGCGTCCGACTTAGGGATGAACTCACTCAACGATCTGGGACGTTTTCCACAGTTGTATTTCATCCAGTTTCCCGATCCAGTCGGCTTCTCCTCCTCCTGGTTGTCTTTGGAAGGACACAGTTCATTGTACTCAGCGGTTGTGACACTTTGAGCATGGGCGAGGCTAATAGCCACAAGAGATGGGAGAAGCACATGAAACTTCATGGTGGTGAAATGTTGATTGATGATGCGTAAGATAGAAGAAGGCTCTAGGTTTGAAATAGTCTTAATTTGTAGGGAACCGGCAGTGTGTTTGAGCAGGTATTTATAGGAATTCCTGGCAATAGAAATCACCAGGTGCTGTCCATTTTTTGGATTAATGCAATGTTCTCTTGCTTATAGCCCTACATCATACAGAAATTATCAGAAAGGATAGATCTCCTTACATCAAGTAGTATGTCGGTCAAATATGCATATGACTTACAAAGAAGAGATCATGTAGGAAGCAATATACTCTAGATAGAACCTAGGGATCAGAAAAGTAATCAGGGTTTAGAAAATAAAGGATAGTAATAGGTATGATTAGGACCAAAAAGCATTAACTAATAGGGTGGTCTACGTATCTATAGTAGTCTACCTTCTTTTCTATCTTCTAGTATACATTTTGTGGGTTGTCTGGCTAGATATCAGGCTACTGAGATCTCTTATGTAATATGCAAGTTTTTGGGTCTTTGTACAATAGATGATTCTTGGATGTGGAGTACAATGCAATATTGAGATTGAATACAGTGTAACCTTTAGCTGCAATGCAATATTGAGATTTCTATTGGATGTAATGAAACTTTTGCATGTTCCCTGCGGCTACAATACACCTTTAGCCCCAGAGATCTTTGCGTTTTAGGAAGGGGGCTGCATAAGATCTTAATCAAGGGTCACAAAATCAGAATATAGACGATCAGATTCGTCTACGCGGGGTACTCCGAATGGGCTACGTTTTATCTATTATAATTTTTCCTGGGTTGTCAATTCCAATCCATTTTTATGAGATCAAATTTAAAGGCTTCATCTTATCTATGAATGGTATTAAAGCGTGTATAGAAGGATATTTTGCTATGCCGTAGACATAATGGTCTGGTCGCAACACGACTCCGTTCGCACCATATACCAAAGACCATGTCAAAAACACGTCCATCGTCTCCCGAGTCTCCTGTTCAAAGGAGACATATTTCTCCTTCAAATTTAAAGAGAAAAGGCTCGCTATATCTGAAGAAAACGGTGGCATGCTGTTTCTATCGTCTGCTGGCGAGCGAAGTATCAACCAACTTTGAGGACCAAAATGATCGCATAGTCTGCCTTGTCTGTTCATGAGGTGTCTTAGGAATGAAAGTAATTCCAACAATTGAAGGCGTAGTATGTGTAGTCAACACTTAATATTTCTGGAGACCGATGCTCTTGTGACACGTCCAGGTTGCAAGGCTGAACGAAATATCATAACGTCCCTCCTAGAACGGCAAGGCATTTAGCATCCTAGTTGTTTAAAACAGCCTTAGAATATAAAAAAGGGTCTATACTCAAGCTCAACCCGCTCAGCTAGCATAGTAAATCAGGATGATTCAATGGGATTTATCATACGTATGAACAAGACTTAGGATCTACAAAGAGCCAAGAGGTGCATGATATCAATGGCTTGAACAACAATGCGTCCAAATCCTGAATTACAATGACAAGGGATCCTCTGCTTTTGTTTATATAGTATCCAATGAAGGATGCAGATATTGTCGTCCAGAGTTGCAACTGTCAACTTCCATACGCCGACCATCAATAGCAAAGACTTCACGTCACTCTATGGATATACTACAGGGTCATCTCTAAGCGCTGTAAGATGACTTCCCCTCATAATGTGACCCCCAAAAAAGGTTTGCCACTATGCAGCAAATGATCCTTGTCAAGGTTGATGTCAGCCAATTCACCAATCGGAGAACAATCATCTCACCTGCTATAGGACTAAGCGAGCCAAAACCTGTTGCTTTGAGGAACAATCTGAGAATTACTAGAGTGAGATGGGAGATTGCAATAAAGATCATTGTGACTAGAATCTGCTCTGCTCCGACCTTCTTTTTTCGCCCATCAACGACAAAGACGCATGTAAATGCTATGTAAAGGTCCAGGTACAGAGAAAGGTTCTCTTTTCAATGATAAGTGGCCACGGAGAAAGGTATAGTGGTCAGGGATACGTCATGGAACTTGTCCATCTTTAATCGGCCCAATTATGCGCAACCATGTCTGCATTACCTCCTGACGTCGAGCAGGAATTCCGAATGGACAATGCTTGTCAAAAGAGCATTAAACCAGGTTGGAATAAACAATACACTATGAATTCCTAACATTCAAAAGTTCAAGCATGACAATCTAACAGCCCAGGATTTCAGCATCCCAGGATGCCGAAATCCCAAGCCCTGCCTGGGAAGCCACGACCGACACTAATGGCACGGTGATATAGATCGGTGAAAGAGAACCAATCGAGACTCGCTGTTAAGTCATGCCAGTACGCTTTGGAGATGTGGTGATGCTGTAGAGGTCAAGGTCGAGGTGAATCAGTCCAATGATTTCGAACCATTGCGAGATTTCACCTCCACACCTTCCTACACCATCCGCCCTGCTGCAATTGGAACATAAGATTTATTGTGCCACAGCTGAGAAGTCGTCCGCATATGAATGCTGCCGGCGAGCTCGCATTCCACATGCCGTTGATTCATATTATGATCCTGAATTTACAAGCTGCAATCAAGGAAGCGGTGAACAATTTGGTAGTCTGTACCGCTGATCAGGTATTTATACCTCCTTATCTGGCCAGAAAGACATCATTTTTCTACATGCTATTCGCTATTCGCAAGAAGCTGCAGGAGACAGGTGTTATCCGCATACTTATATGCTATACATCACAGATAAATTACGTGTTACGTTTTTTGAATACGCTATGTGGATACCCAAAATTTTCATATGCGGGCGGAGAAGTATGATGGTCGACATCTCCAAAAAGCAGGATACACTCGATGAACTAGATTTACCATGCACATCTGAAGTGGTGGAGGGTTCTCTTTAATATAAATAGTGGTTGCTAGTCCACAAAATCACTTTATCAATATCTATCATTGAAGACCCAGCGCAGACTTTCTCTCTGAATCTAATTTTTGCTACCATCTCTATCAAGAATTCAAAATGGTCTCGATGTTTTGGGAGCAGTATATTGGAGGTCTAGAAGGACAACGCACCCGTCCAGCCAAACCCCACATCCCTGTCTCCAGGATAGATTTCTGGGAGAATAACACGGCGAAAAAGACACTCAGAGCGTTCGGCTTGGCTTGGGTAGATGGAACCGAGGAAGGACCCTTTGGAACATGGAATCAGCTGACCAAACGATCGTTTGATATCACATATGGTGAGCGTCTCACCTCGTTGACCCTTTTTGCATCCTGGGAGGAGGGGTTACGCATCTTTTGTGGATGCAAAGGAACCACGAGCACCGGCCGGTCATTCGATTTTGGCCACACGTCGGGCAATGCTGATGCACATCCTATCGATGTCCATGGCGGGTTCTGTGTGGGCATTGGGGGTAATAGAGATGGGGCCTGGCTAAACAGCTTGGCCTTTTGCATGATCGATGACCTTGACCGAGCGGCGATCGACATGAATTACCTTGCTCTTCCCGAAGGCGATATCAACGTGATCTCTATCGATAATACCACGGACCACAATAGAGGAGCAACGCCGTTATCAGCTTACTTGTCGAAAGATGTTAGCGTGACCAACGAGACTTCTACAAGCAAGACATGGGCTGAAGAGCTTGGTATTTCTGTTAGCGTGTCAGGCAAGGTGTTTGGCATTGGGGCCTCTAGTGACGCTAGTTACACAGAATCTGAGGAAACCAGCAAGTCAACATCTTACTCGGAGACTACCTCTACCACGTTTAGCAGAACATTCGACGTTCCCCCAGGTAAAACGTACTATGCATCTGCTGTTTACTATAGAGGAACCTTTGAAATAGAATTCCGTCCAAAATATGTGTTGTACACCAAAACAGGTTTTGTGGCCCGCTTTCCAGAAGGCCCCGCGCAGCGGATCTCTGGGGTCGCTGCAGGAAACTTTATCATGAATGTGGACGATATAACCGATTCTCCTCACGGTGTTCCAGTTGCTCCTCCCCCCCCTGGGGAAGATATTGGTGTGCCGCCTCCGGATGACAAACAAGGCGAATTTACTATCAGAGATTTAGTTTAGTTGCTCTCAGATGTCTCGCAGGCCATCCCTTGGAATTATTCCTTCATTGTTTCTATCTGCCTTGGCAGGGGTTTTTCCTCAAAGGTTTTCCTATGCTGTTATGCGAATGCAAAGGCATTGTTTACAACTTTCATACCAAGTCTCCCTCTTGATCCACGTAGTATAGGTCAACGACGTCAAAAGAATGGATAGCAGGCGTCCAACATCCCTGACGCTGCGATCGATAGTAACCTTGCCGCCTGTCCGCCCCACGCCCTACCAGCTGCTGGTGGTTGTCACACTTTGGCAAATCCTCTCCACTTCAGACAAGTTTGAAGCTATATAACCACCTGATCCCGTCCACTTTAGGGGAAAATTTCTTATTATGCTTTATTTAAAGTATAGTACATAAATCTTTACAGCATGCTCTACTGACTTCTATTTGATAGACGCCTAATCACTGGTATAGAGTTGCGATATACGGTAAAGGAAATTATCTTTGACATGTGCCGCCAAACTCCCAGGAATTGCGTGATGGCCATATCATGTGCATTTCCCAATAAATGGCATCCGACTTTCTACCCAAAATCCTTCCAACTGCTCATTAAGCTGAAAGGTGAGCAAATAAGAGCAGATGGATTCACTCCTCGACCCCCTAACGATCTCCCACTGCTCCTTGCTGAAAGTCTCAACCACAGCGTCTAGGGTACCCTTTGTAACATGGCGCGAAGACGAACCATCAAACTCAGATAGCGAGCTCCCTAAAGCGAAATGATTCGTTTCTACCTCATTTACTCGATTCTCATCAAAACCGAATAAACATATATTTGATTGAGCATTGACGTATATCAAATTTTGCCGTATGTTCTTGATGTGACGGTTTTACGCATCGTCGTATGAGCTAGGTGCGTTATAGCGCCGTTCTACGGCCTCGTCGAACCCTAAGCCCTAGTTGAATCTAAAACGGGATATCTCTTTGATATCATGATGTCCCGATTAGGCACCGACAAGGCCGTACGCGCCTACAAAGGGCCGTAGCGAACTCACACACAGATTCTTCTCTTTTCCTTCTTTTCTGTATGCTTAGTTTTTCGTGGATAGGCTACCCTAATAGTAGGCTTAAGCAAGCATCACACCTGAGGTCATCTGCTGATATGCCACATTTCTGCATACTAGAAAATGCCACTAAGATCTGCAGCATTAAGCTGAAGACAATCCAGAATATCTGATAGGTTTTGGTACCACTTCATCACGGCGGTTAAAATAGTATCCTGAGTTTAATCAGTCTTTTCTAGGAGACCATGCTTCCACAGTGAAACATAAGGGGTAACGCCATCCTCCCGGTTCCTCATGAGAACCACCCTATATGCAGAGAGAGACCATTATTAGTATCAAATGCCCAGGAAAACTGCCAGCCATTGTCCATTCACTTACATGCCGTCCTCGTCCATATTTTCACCCAAATAGAATTTATATTCATCAAATTTCTCAATAACCTTTTTTGCCCAAATTGCCGAGAATTTGTTTTGAATACCGAAATCTCATCGGCCGTTGCATTGTTGCCCTCCAGCGCTTTTTCAATGCTCTTCATGTAATCTATACCGAAATTAGCGAGAGAGCTAGGTTTGCAGTATTGTGGCCCATACATACCCATCAAATAAGTCAGGTATCCCTTCTTATCGAAGAAAATCTCATGCAAACGGAAGCATTCTACAACATTATTTACTTTCACGCTAGTCACGGTAGTCCGGTCTTCGGCCAAAACTTCTTTGTCAACCATCATGCAATCAACCTCATATACAACACTATCAACTTCTTTTAGCGTAAAGATGCCGTTCATGATTTCATCGTTGTGTAAGCCAACAATATCTTGCATTTTTGTACTGGAATCAGCAAGCACACATGAGACTGGGAGGCAAACATGTAAATGATTGAATGCAAGAGTGGGTGAGCTGACCTTGTAAGTAATCATTTCAAAGTCGATCAAGTTAAATACAAAACACTTCCGGGATTGGAGGAAGTGACAATACAAAAAGTAAATGAAACAGTTGTGCAAATAAATGATACAAAAAAGAAATAGTTTAAACATATTTATATACACTATCTAGGTATTCCTCAGGCTAACACATCTTGAACGCGGATTTAAGTAAAAGCATAGCCCCGCGAAAGCTACGTGCCCTAAGCCTGCAGAAGTATTAGCGGTGAGTAATGATAAACCAATTAAACTTCTCATATGGCCGACCTGAATTAGATCACTCTGAATCAGGCCATCTTTACCTAATCTAGTTCGTACTTCATGTAAGAGATGTATTGTGCCATTGTATGATAGATCAGATTGTGGTCAGGACTTGTTTCTAGCTTAATCCTGCCAGCAAAAAGCGTTCGGTCCTCCATGGTGTGGTATGTATGTGCAGCTGTTTCTTACGCTTGTGAACAATTGTAGGACAAATTGGGCTGCCTTCTTGCATTTGAACTAAGAGCGTGTGATATGGCTCCTTGGAGTTGTTAGATTGCATACAGGCCTGTCACTACTTCACCACATCAACTCTAACACAGTGTGATCTATCAGACAATACTCCCAATTGCCAGGGATTGAACCAATTCGGACCTACAGTAGGTCCGAATCGAGGAGAGATATCAATAAGCAGCTAGCCAAGTGCATCTTCTAACTTCCGGAGGGTCATTGTGAGATCTGCTGAAGAGATGTCACTTGCTGAGCGGGGCTTGACTTTGATGACTATGATTCTGACTGGTTTATTTTGTGGATGAAAGCCTGGAAAAGACCTGGAAATTCATGATAAGATCCAATAAAAATGGCAGACTGATCTGGAAATGAGACGATTGCATGGCGTGTGGTGCCTTTAGCGACTTGTTCCGATCTGGACCCGCACACGACCGCTAAATGCTTCTGGTAACTGGAGGACAATGACTATTTCTTTTGGAGCCGATTTTTGGGCATAACATGGCACTGAATTTGATTCCCACGTGATCCTGAATACAATCTCACATGTCCCTTGGAGAAGCAGCTCTGCCACCTGGCTGATATAGTCGGAGACCATGACACCATTCATGCGCTGTGATGATAGCTCAAAGATGCGATGATGATGACCGGTGGATATGGATGAAAGTGCACAGTTGGGGCAATTTCTCATCGGTAATGATGGAGAGAGGGAAGTAAACCGCACGAATGGTATAAAGGTACCGAATGGCTTTATTAGCATAATAGCCTGATATCAAGATTGATCGCTACCAACATGAAGCCAAACCCGTTCTTCTTCCGAAGTGGGCATTGGTACCTTCAATATCCAAACCTGGTCATAATTAGTATCTTTCGTAAAACTAGCGGGAAAACTCACATATTGGCCCATTGGGGGTCCCTGCCATAGCAACGCTCTCCATAATCCATGTCTGCTCCAATTATATTGAGAATTCGTTTCACATTTACGTTGCCCGTCTTGCCCTACTCGATACAATAATTTGACCACCATGAGTACTGATAGAGGATTGGGCTAATTCTGCGTTCCATTAATCATTAGTGTAGAGTATGGATGGGTTCTGCCTGGGTCCCAATTACCATCCGGAAAAGAGGAGGCTCCTTCAGGTTCATTGAATGTGATATCTCTACTACTGCCCAAATTCCCCACTCATAGCTCTTCCGATATTTTACAATTCACCAGGGAAAAATTGGCGAAGAAATAATATCTGAAAATCAGCTAAAACTACATACATAATGAAACATAGGAAACCCAGCTTCAAGCATAACAGGCTGCATACAGCCATTCTCATGGCCAGTGCAATCAGCACACAGATGCTAATTGTATTGTTCCAAACATCCCCATATGAGTCTGGTACGTCATATAGTCGATGCTAATTCGGAGCAAACTCGTTGGAGGCTTTACGGAACCGATCCTTTTTATATCTATCAAAGACAGCAGTGAAGATCTCGCGCTTCAGACCGTCGCCTTCGTCAATAGCAGCGATCATTGCCTCAATTTTCTCCTGCTCAGATTTTTCGTACTCGATATATGCCTGCTCTAACCCCAGTTCTAGAAAGATATCCTTCACCATTTTTAATAACCCTATGTCGTTACTTCCATATGAGTCTTGGAGCTTCTGTCGCTGCTCGTCATTGCCACGACGAAGTGCTTTATTGATAAGCCATGTGCATTTGTTTTCCTGTATATCTGTCCCGACTTCTGTAGTCGGATCTCTAAATACATCGATGAAATCATCGTGGACTTGATAATATTCACCAATCGCATTTGCCAGGCTGCGTACTTGTTGAGTATTAGCTGGTGTGGCGAGCTGCCAATATTCCAACACAAGTACAAATGGGAGATAGAGGCCATAGTATGAAGACTTAAGTTCAACCATAGTAGAATATTTTTGCGTGGAGAAATCATCAATATTCTGCTTCTTGCAATAGACGAGATCACAGAGCTGGCCCAGCTCGGTTTGAAACCCGGCTTTGAGAAAAAGTTCAACAAAGCTATTATAAGCTTGGTGTTGATAGAAGTATTTCTTTAGAAAAAGAAAAACAGTGGACTTGAGTTGACATGCATCATTAATAGCTAACATACTAATAGCTGGCTGCCGGTACCAACAGGGTTGGCCACGTCGGGTAGTTGATCCATCCATCATATCGTCCCAAATCAAATAGCTGGTATTGAGGATTTCCACAAGCCAACCCAAAATACACAACTGCTTTATGTTTTCATGGTCGAGAGGACGGGTCCTGAGCTCACGACCAACGTACAATACTGCAAGGCCACGATGGAGCTTGCCACTGCTCACATTTGTATTGAAACACTAGGATATAGTTGTTAGTAGTGCAGTACTGCTTCACCCTTGCGGGGGAAGATTACCTGAGAAGAGTGATCGATTGCTTCGGTTGGCAACCCTTTGTCAGAAAGATGCTTTTTCAATTCATCGCCCAACTCAGCGAAAGTGAGCTTTAAGTCTGTTCTGAGTGAATCCATCGATTGATAGTTGTAAAATTACGTTATATAACAACGACGGTAGGTGTGAAAATAGGCATGGAGCAGTAGAAGTAGAAGTAGGCGAAACTGGCCCGGATAAAGGCCCTCGCCACTTTTTAAATTGATGAGGAGTTCAATTTGCCTCGTAGCAAGAAATTAGTGAGGGGCATAGTTGAACGCTACAGGGATCTCAATCCATTGGCCCAAAGGTGAATGTGGTTATCCAGCATTTGCCTTGAAATTGATTGGTGGATCGAGTTAGTAGTTTGGATGCCCAACCAGATAAATACCAATTCTGATAGAGACGGATTCAAGATCTCCTTCACCTTTTCACTTTCTCCTTGATTCATTCTGCCCGACTGACAAGGCACTGCTGTCTGAGACACAAATTCCGATACCTGGAAAATCGTTCGAGGCTTTATTTTGATATCACCTCTTAGTTCGTATTCTACGAAAAGCCAAAGGTAAGATCGGCCCAGCCCCCCACCTCAAGTGCCGCAGACAAAGATTAGAATTATAGGACGTATTCCAAAGAAGGACTAGGTATTGCCTGCAGCAAACTGTGGATTTGCTCTATGGACATATACTCCATAGTATTTGATTCAGCATTGACGCATGTCAAATTTTGCTGGATTACCCTGAGGTCACCTGCTGATGTGTCGCACTTTTGCATACTGGATTATCAAAACAGGACCTCCGTGCTCCAGCAAGGAGGTCTGTGTCCGTGGCACATATTCAATTGTAGTGCGTTGAAAAACAGTTGCCTCGCTTTTATGGCTTCTTGCGCCATCCGCGTGTGTCTTGAGATTATACTGTTTAGACAATATCTCGTTCGAAATTCAATTCAGAGATAAAGGGGATATAAAGATCACTCCGGTGCAATCTTTGCCCATTGAGCAGTGGATGGGTTTTACCTCATCAGGGTAGTCCCGATTTGAAGAAGTATAATGTGAATACCTAATGTGGGATGTGGGGCCTTTCCCGAAGTAGTCTTGCAGAGGCGGTCACCTCCAGGCCTTTAGAAAGGTAGCGACTACTTGGTGAAACCCTCTATTGAGAACTTACATTATTGGAAAGCAAGGCTAATGATTTTCAAGCCTTCAAGTGGTTCAAGATCGTGACTATGAGGAGATTCTCTTTCTTTCGCATCTGTCAGGCGGATTCTTGTCAAAATACGTAATTCATGTGTCTTCACCAAGCCACGATCTTTGATCTAAAGAAGGTAACTATTTTGAGTTTTGCGTCTGCCTGAAGATCAGAGGGTTCAACGCGCTAAGGGAAGCTTTAGAGCACTTGATAAATACCCCACTTTCAGAGTTAAAATTCAACCCATTGTTGGCGACGCAGTACAAATACGAAAACACACCCAGGTTACATGGTAGGAAAACCTCTAGCGCCCTACCAAGTTCGCACTTCTGGATCTCCTGACGTTTGCAGACCCAAAGAAAGAAACAATACACCGAATTGAGAAGCCATGGCAGAGATCAATGTCCGATCAAACTACCCAGATCGTCCTGAGGATGTTATTGTGTCTGGCCCTTATGACGAGGAGCAAGTGAGATTAATGGATGAAGTATGCATTCTTGTAGACGAGGATAACAACCCAATAGGCACAGGAAGCAAGAGATACTGTTGAATAGCTCCATCTTATTTTGCTTCACTTTATTTATTGATAATCACAATATAGGGTAGTTACTGACTGGACAAAGTACAGGTCATCTTATAAATAATATCAATCAAGGTATACTCCATCGTGGGTTTAGTGTATATCTCTTTGATTCTAAGAACCGACTGTTACTTCAACAACGCGCATCGAGTAAAATTACCTTTCCTGGTGTCTGGAGCAATACCTGTTGTTCTCACCCACTCAACAATACTACAGAAAAAGAATTAGATACCAAGGCAGCTATTCAAGGAGTAAAGTACGCAGCACAGCGAAAACTTTTTCATGAATTGGGCATTAGCAACGAGAAAATCAGGGTGGAGGCAATCCATTTTTTAACTCGACTCTACTATAAGGCGCCAGCAGATGACGTTTGGGGAGAGCATGAGAGTACATCTATTATCCTTCCTAACTATCATTCCTTTGTCAAGTCTTAGTGATGCCACGGCTTGCAGCTGATTAGTATATTGTATGTAGTTGGATACGCATTGCTCGTTCAGAGTGATGTCGATCTTCATCCAAACACGAATGAGGTTCAGAATACCCGATATGTCACTGAGATGGAGTTAAGAGAAATGTTGAACGACCCTCATGTTCCATTTAGTCCTTGGTTTAGACTTGTATGTCTCTCCAAGCTTTTTAGTTGGTGGAAGTATATCAGGATGGGGTTGATCGAAAATATCATAAATGACATGGCAATCCACAGGATGGATGATCCAGAGCAGGAAAAGGGAAAGAAAATTACTACAGCAGTATGAGGAGCCAGTGAAACTCACGCATGTTCTGTGGATATTACTATCTGTGCTGCCAGTGCCCCATGGGTTAAAGGGACGCAAGTTTAGGATAGGCCAATGGCTTAAAGTTGTTTGATACTGGTGAAATAAATATATAGTTATCCTAAATCGCCTTCCACAGACAGATTTGTTTTCAAATCCCACGAGCCAAGACTGTGCCAGTCCATATCACATCCCGGCCTCAAATAAATGGCATGTAGGAAGTTGTTAGGAGTTTTACCACTACGGTATTTCCAAAGCAGCATCGGAAGGAAAATCAGTATATCCATGGCCCGGAACTTGCAAGATCCTCCGTGCGAGCTCACAATAAACTGTCCTTGGCATCACGTAGTTCGATTTTACTTCGCCCCGTATAGAATTATCTTTACCACTAGATCTCGTCTCTAGATAACAAAAAATCAGAAAAAGCCAAGTGTGACGACTTAGTCTGGCGCCAAATAGGGAAGCACTGGGTCCACAGCCATCGGATAGCTGCTGTTAAGTATACCTAAGCTCCGTTTGTACAGGTAAGCCCCGAATGCCCGGCACGAGCTATTAGTATTGTCACGGGCCTAGCAGTAGGCATGTCAATACAGGACCTTGGCGGCACCCTGAGGAAGGAATGTTCCAACAAGAGACTTCACAACTTCCCGATTAGGCACCACTGAGTCCTCGGGTCTTAGTATAAAAGGTATTTGCAGAGGGGGGATTAGTGTAGTTCTTCTTCTTTCCTCTCCATACTTAGTCTTACGTCAATAAGCTACTCTTTTGATTTGAGCACCGTCACAAGTATCCTCAAGGAGCTTTGGACAGATACCTGGTTGATCTTGGTACGAGTTGGTCTATTTATAGGAGGCTTACAGCCCTTGGCAATCGGTTCTTTCCACTATTCCTTATACTGAATATTTCGTCGACGGGCACCAGTTGTTAGTTTAGGAGGCTATCTAATATACTGATTAGCATAGTCACACCAAGTACGTAACAACAAAAGGGAAACACATTCGTTTAGTATTCGGAACCAATTAATCATTCCCCAAAGGGCAAGGGAAGCGTACAACCAACTGTTTTCTGCACTACTGCTCACCTCGGTGGTCAAGAATTCCTGCTCTTTAGCGAGTTGAATATTCAACAGAGGTGTTGCATATCAGGGATATGATGAGATGGAGTTTTTAGAACTATATAGAAACACTGAGAAAATCCATAGTGTGTAGATCATAATTAAGGGCTGATCTACACATTTAAGATGTCATTCACAGTTACACGCACCAAGAGTTATTATCAATAGTCTGGTCCTGATATAACTAGACTCAGTTTTGATGCTAAGCAAGCTAATCCAGGTTTTCATGGGTAGGACGAGCACCAGTGAGTTTCATGAGCATTATTGAAAAATAGAAAAAATAAAGTATTACATAAGTGCAAATGTTACGTTGTCTGGAGCCTTTGATGATCATAGGTTAGAATCTGAAAAGCCTTTGCATTCACAATAAGATCTGGGGAAAACCTGTCACAAACAGGGGAAAACCCATATCAAGGCACAAGGGTGAACAAAAGAATATAGAACTTCCGCAGTATGGCATTGAAGTGACAAACATAATCACTCCATCTCATATCAATCATGAGATACCATGCAAATTGATGCAAATTACTAGGAGGTTCTATTAGTAATATATTGTCACAGCCACTGCTCTCAACACATAAAGACCATCACTTACGGCCTATTTATGATTGTGAATGTCAGTACTAGATTATCATAGTCACTGCTCTCAACACATAAAGCCATCACTTACAATCTATTCATAACCCTCACTATTAGTATTATATCATCACTGCTCGCAGCATATAAATATCATCACTTACATTCTGCTCACCATCATCATTAGTATAATATCATCATCGCTACTCTTAACATATAAAGAACATCACTTATATCCTATTTATCACCGGCACTGTCAGTACTATATTAGCAGTCACTGCTCTTAACAATAAGGCCATTACTTACAATCTTGACCTTCAGTACTGTCTAATTAACATATAAAAGAAGGCCAAAACTTCTACGAAGTTTTATCTACAGTAAACCAGTGGAAAAAATTACATTGACGATCTGGTCAGAAAGATGGATTGTGGTTGCTCAGTCTGCTGCCAGAAACTCCACCATCACCACTAGCAATGATAACAGAGATACCCCGAGCAGCGAGTTGAGCAAAGCCATTGCACATACTATTCGCATTGCTAGAAGTCAAATCGCTCTCGTTGTATCCATAAGAAAGGGACAAGACAGTAGGTGGGCTTTTCAGGTTGACAATATAGGATATGACATCGAGGAAGCCCTGTACAGTAGGCAGTCCCACAGAAATGAAGGTGGTTTAAATGCCATTGGCCAAACCAACGGTGTACTGGATGTCGGATTGGCTTCGACGCCGGGCTGACTCTGATCCTCCGTCGACAGATGCTACGGCGAATGATGGAGCCGAGCTCAGATCTGGGCGGAACTGCTGCAAGAAAAGACTTAAGTCGGCACAATTAACGTACTCGTTTACAAAGCCGGAAACTGTAAATCCAGTACTTAAGCTGCTTATACTCGCGGTAAGCAGATCATAAAGAGATTAAAGACAGGCTGAAGTGATTTATTTATTATATATAATTATATCAGTATTTAAAGTAGAGAGATTACTAAGATCTAATCTATAGGTCTAGATCTGGGGAGAGTTATTCACCTTAGAAAAGTCCATTATCGGTTAGATTATCTTAATGAAGCTAGTGAGGTACTTAGAAATGGAGTATTAAAATATTAATTAAGTAATTTAATATTAGATATATAGAATTATATATCGTTCAACGAGCCTCTATAGAGCTTCTATAAAGCAATTATATTCTATATGTTATTCATACCAGCATAATTCAAAAGATCAGTTGAGGTCATGTAAATCTTGTCAACAATAAGTCTAATAATTTCTAAGATTAGAAATGGATTTGGAGTGTTATAATAGAAAATAATATCCATTATAAACACGAAATACTATAAGGTTAAGAAATACTGCTAAATGTTAAACATAGACTGATAGGAAACAAAGCTTTGACCTAGAATATTAAGAATCACTATAAAAGCTTTAAGATTTATAGTCCTTAATTCAAGATTAAATATAATTTTTCTTACTATATTAATTGATCTCTCCTCTTCTATTATCTATTTATTACACTCAGCAAGAAACTGTAAGAAGTCTTGGCATACAGATAATAATTTTAAGTATTACTAAAAATATAAATAGAGTATAAAATACGATTCTTACTACTATATTGATTGATTCCTTCTATTCTCCGACTCCATCTATTATATTTGGTTTGATGTTCAATTTTGCAATTATAACATGCCCAACTATTTCCTAAAGCTGAGTCTGCTCCTAATTAGAAAGAAGAGTATAATGATTTATAACATTATATAATGTTATATATATAACACTTACTTCCTATATGATTTTTAAGATATTTAAAGGAGCTGTCTCCTTCTTAATAATAGCAGTAAAATCAATTATCCTATACTAGTCTAGAAATAAGTAGGCCTTTTTATCAGTAGTAAGAATGCTCTTAATATTCTTCACTATCTTCTTAATAATGGTGCTACGGCTGACAAGATTATTAAGTATATTATGAGTATAAACGCGATCATAAAACCTAGTATTACCAAATGCCATCGTAAAGTCCTTAAATGCGGCCTCTATTATAATCTTTAACAAAGAACCAAACAGTTTATAAGCAGATTCTGCTGTTTATACTCTTGCTTCACTGCCATAAATATAGTGTTCCACAACCCCCCCAATAACTTGGCCCACATATAGGTGCTAAGAAAGTCAGGTAAATTCACCAAAGTAACTAAGCTGGTATTGAAAATACAGGAATAGGACTGAACGAACTTTAGATAGCATATCTCTGAAAACTGCCTTTTCCTCCTCATTGAGTGCCTAAGAATATTCATTTTCATCAAATCTTCTCAGTGTAAAGTATGCATCAACATATTTAGACATCAAGACAACAACAATATTAATAGCTTCATTAGAAACCTTTTTTTTATTTTCTATTAGTTAGTAGCTTATTTCAATAACTTCTGCCAGTTTTTTTATCAGGCTTTCACGTTATAACTAAAGAATATCTATATTCTTTTACAAACGATCTTCATCTATATAAGAAGAAGGATCAAAAGATTTCCATTTCCCCATTTTGCACAATAAAGGATTCGAGCTTGAAGCAAATAGAGATAGGAGTGGGATAAGAGTGGAATAGGAGTGGACTGACAGGAGAGTGAACAACTTGGATAGGGCACCTTAGCTCTACTTATAATTCTGCTCTAAGGATTGTGGAGTTTGCTAATAGGCTCCTTCTAACTACTAGGTTAGCACCACCTCAGCTGTGTATCAATCACAGATAATGATATTAATCTATATATATATGACATAGTAGATCCCTTATTAATTAGTGTAGGTAGATAGTTAGAAATATTTTCCTTCTAGAAATAATATATTCACTATCCTGCAACTCTATCCTATGCTTAAATAATTGGAAGCTGAATGGGAATCTAGAGATCATTTAGCTGCTAGGTCTGATAGATCTATTCATGAGATTCCTATAAGATAAACTCTGAATTTAGAGTGATAATGTCAATTATCTTCTAAATACAATAATAAGATTAATAACTGGTCTAGCTAGCCCAAGCTATTCTGCCTCATCTAGAGAGAGAAAAGCAGTTATATCTTGATCTACCAACGTAAGGAATGAGTAGATTGGGCCTAATTAGAGCAGAGCCATATCTGAGCTGTAAAACTAAAATATATAATCTATTAGATATTCAATCCAGATAATCTATTGATATATTAATCTGTTGATTCATGCCTAATAAGATACAGAACAGTTACCACTATTTTAGTATTGGTCAGCTAGACAGTCAGGATAGACAGAATTAACAGCTTCATTCTATACATAGATGATTAGAATGA